CCCTTAAAGAATTCGACCTAGAATTGCCATCTGATCCAGCAATGCCACTTGTGGGTATCTACCCTGAAAGACATGAAGGCAGGGACTCAAACAGATACTTGCATGATCATGTTCATAGCAGCTTTATCCACAAGAGCCGAAAGGTGGGAACAACCCAAGTGTCCATTGACACGCAAATAAAATGTGGCACATATATACAAGTGGGATATTATTTATTTTATTTTTTAAGATTTTTTTTATTTGAGAGAGAGAGCACAAGTGAGGGGGGCAGGGACTCAGGGAGAGGGACAAGCAGACTCCATGCTGAGCAGAGAGCCAGACGTGGGACTCCATCCCAGGACCCTGGGATCATTGACCTGAGCTGAAGGCAGACGCTCAACTGACTGAGCCACCCAGGTGCCCCACAAATGGGATATTATTTAAACTTTAAGAGGAAGGGAATTCCGACCCATGCTACGACACAGATGACATTATGCTAGGTGAAATAAGCCAGTTAGAAAGGGACAAATGTCATATGCGTCCGCTTGTATGAGGTTCCTAGAATAGGCAAATTCATAGATGCAGAAAGTAAAATGGTAGTTGCTGGGGGCTGGGGGAGGGGAGAGGGGAACGGGGAGTTGGGGTTTCATAGGTCCAGAGTTTCAGTCTGGCATGATGAGAAGGTTCTGGAGATGGGTGGTGGTGATGGTTGCCCAACAATGTGATAAACTCAATGCCGCTGAACTGTACCCTGAAAAAATGATTAAAATGGTACCTCTCATGTTAATGTTATATTTTATCACGATAAAATAAAAAGGATTGGAGTCGATGGGAAGATCACATGTGACCAGGAACTGACATCCTCAGTGAATGTGGGGCTGCCCAGGAAGCTGTAGAGAGCAGTGAGGAGGGAAACGGGGTGGTAGAGGTGGGCGGCAGGTGTGGTCCTCAAAGGATCAGGATTTCTGGCGAAAGGAAAGAAGAGTACTGGCCTGGAGGAGGCATTGGCAAGCAAGGAGGACACCTACTCCCATGTGCAGGTCCTGAAAGTCTTGAGATTTGAGTGTGAGGGGAAAAAAAAAAAACAAAACCCAGCTTCCATTTAAGAGGCCTGGTGGTCAGTGATGTTTATTCCCCAAGGAACAAGTGAGACCTTCGTTGGGAGAGAAGGGTGAAGGGCACTTTCGGAGAAGAAATGGGCAACGTAGGAGAATTTGCTGTTGACCAAGAGTTCCAGAGGGTACAATGGGAGGGTTGGAAGGGAGGAGAGCGGCATTAGTGTGTGAACAGACCACTGTGGGGACAGGAGAGTGTGGGTGTCCGAGGGACAACCGGAGGCGAGCGGACTTCCTTCTGGTGATGACTGAAGTTCCCGGGCCCATAGTGAGGCCCTATGAGCCGAGTGCCCCGTACGGGAGGGTGGACTTAGAGGCGTGTGGAAGTCAGTTCTGAGGTCTCCAGCGTGTCCCCTCCGTTGGGGTGACTCAAGGGAGGCCGCTGTGACAGCGCAGAGGCATGTCTCATTTCACTTGTGGGGGAGGGGGTCTGCTGAATCCTTCCATCGTCACCTGTTGGGCATCTGCTCAGGCCACAGTTTCTTGGCAGAAATGATGTAGGAAAACGAGTTGCCTGATCTCTCCTCCCAAAGCTTGTGTTTCCCCATCTGTAAAATGGGTCGTTGTGGGGCCGGAGTGAGGCGATATGTGGACAGTGTTGTTTTCTGCCCTGACCTCTCTTTCTTCATCCTCCTCGCTTTAGTCCCGGATGTCTCGAGTCCTCAGACTGTCCCTTCTGCTGACCAAACTCTTCGGTGGGGCTAAGTAAGGCCCACCCCGCCCGGACGTCCCTTTCCTTTTCCCTAATGCAACCTTACTTGTCCTATTTCATATCCATTCAGAGCCCTCCCTATTCCCTCTTGGGATAAATCTGATTCAGCCAGTGAGTCCTTTGTTGGCATGACTTTATGTGTCCTTTTTCCAAGAAAGCATTTGTGTTTTAACGGGGACCCTCGATGCCATAACCCAGTGGAATAAAAGCCCCTCTGTCCTCCCACCTTATTGTGACCCTCCCATTGTCTGAGAATCGTGTTCTTTTTACGTCCTTGCTTCTCCAAGTGTGGTCTGTGGACCAGCAGCATGGGCCGCACCCTGGAATTTGCTAGAATCTCGGTACTCGAGACCTGCTGCATCGGAATCATCGGAGCAACACCCCTAGGTGATTCATATGCACATGCAAGTCTGAGCAGCACTGCTAGAGTGAGGAGCAGCTAGCCAAAGCAAGGCCCCTTTACAAGAAGAAGAGTTTATGTCCAACCTCCTTACAAGAGGGCACCCAGAGCAGCTGCTTCAGAGCCCCAGGGACGGGGATCCCATCCCCGACACTAGGAATTGATGGCGTCATCTGGCGGCCCAGCTGCCCTGCTGGATCTCTGGAGCTTCTGGAAGGGTCTGGCTCCTGTGATTGGAATCAGAGGGCTAATTGGCCCCACGTGGCTCCAAATCCTGCCAGTTTCGAGGGGAGTGACAAGACTCCCCAAGGAGCCAACCAAATGTAAAGAAAAAGGAGCCAAAGGCAAGGAGAGATGGAGAGCCGAAAGCTGATGCCTGGGAATCTAGCTGTGACATTTCTATCTTCCTGCCCAGAAGTGCCCGGGAGAGAGCATTAGCTCCAAAGCAATCCATCTTCTTCTCAGTTCACTTGTCCCTTAGCCATGTCCTGCCTAGCAACAGGTGTCAGTAGGAGCTGCAGCTCGCAGTCTGTCTTTGGACGGCAAGGAGAGATTAGTCTAGCCCACAGAGGAACTAGTATCAGGACGGCCGCGGAGAGCCAGGCCATCTGATAGCTGGCTGGATCAGGGACGGAGCTGCCTGGGAAGTGAGGGGACAGAGTACACTGTGGGGCTGCCTCTTGCAGGCAAGGAGCTGATGGGGGACGGGCCTGGGCTGCAGGGAAGTGGGTGGAGTTTATCTTGGGCTCCCTCTCCCTACCCCTCCGGCCACCCCTAATGAGGCTACCAGTAATGTCACCGCCTCTACATCTGTGTGATGCGTTTAACCTTCCAAAGTGCTTCTGTAGCCATGATCTCATTTCATTCTCCCAACAACGCTGAGTGCAGGATCAGAGACAGGTTAATTAGGATGGGGGCCGGCCTTCCAGACTCAGCCGGGACGTGGAGTTGCTGCTGGCCTCGGGGCTGGCGCAGCCCTGCGGTGAGGACTGAACAGCCGGAGGGTCCATGACCCTGAGTGGCTGTAGGCAGTGGGGGAGGGGGGGGGCGCCAGGATGGAGGGCCCCATCCGAGAGAGATTTGGCTCCAGCTGGGCTGCTAATATGCTTAGCCTCCATGGGTCCCTACTTTGTCACCTAGCTTGGAGGCTGGGATGGAGGAGAAGTCACCAAGCCTCTTTGGCAGGATAGTTAGAGACTGTGAGGAGATAATGGATGTGAAAGCACCTTTCTGCAGATGAGGTAATGGGTGTAAAAATGAAAAGAAGCACTTGGCTATAAAGTGTCATTATCATTAGGCAGAAAAGAAAGGCTAGGCTTTTACCCAGGTGACTGACTAGAGAGGGCAAGCCTGGAGCGGGGTAGGGAACAACCTTTGTGGGCCTTGGGTAGGCAGGGGTCAGAACAAAGGCATTGCGTGCATCTGGAAACACAGAACAGGTCCCGGAAACAAAGCTGCGGGGGCAGGGAGGACCACAAACTTCAGCTGCTCCATGATTTTGTTCCGGGTTGCCCTGTTGGAAGGGACCAGAAACCAAACATCTTTCAAAGTGAAATTACCTTCCTCCCCCACCCCCAGGAGGGAAGGCACGTGACCCGTGGACAGCTGAGCTCCTGTCATCCATCACCCGCTTGCTTTCATTGTCACTCCCAAGTCTCCAGGCACTTAGCAAAAATTTCAGAGAGACTGAGCTATGGTCCCTGAAAGATGCAGACCCCAGGAGGGAAGGGCCGACTTCCATTTGCATTGTAAAACGGGCTTCTGGTCTGTTAATGGAGGTGTTTCTTCCCTGACCAGAGATAACTGGGGAAGGCTCAGGCAGTGGGAGGCGAGGGCTGCTCGCTGGGTGGCGGGGGGAGGGGAGGGGAGGGTCTAGTTGGGGACAGTTAGTCCAGCTCGGTTAGGGTCGGCGCAGGGACGAACGTGCTTCAGGCCCAACCTGGAGACATGTCTGCAGCTCTAGGAGAAGTAGTTGGGTTCCCTGGGCGAAGATGAGGCTGCCCATGTCTAACACAAGTTAGACCTTAATTACGGACTTTCGATACTGTTCTCAGTTACCACTCTAATTCTCCTGTTTCGTGTACCCCTCTCTTTCCTCCCCCACGCTAGATTGGAAGCTGTTTCAGGGCAGAGATCTGTAATCTGTGTGTCCCTCGAAGCTCTGAGTAGGCACTCAATAAATACTTGTTGATGGATGACCACGAGTCAAAACAGGAAAGCAAAACACTCGTGTCACAGAAGGCTCTTAGCCTGTTGGTTCCTCTGGCTCCAGGAGCGTTTCTTTGCATCATTATTGGCGATGCCTTCTGCCCAGCGGAGGCTAAAGTGTGCCCAGCTTCAGAAAAAGAAAAAGGCAGCAAAACTGAACCTGCAGTGGCCGGGGGACCCTGAGCTCAGGACAGCGTTACTGAGTACTGGAACATATGCCTGGGTGTTCCTCTCGAGTGTCCCTGCTCCCCATGCACAGCCCCACAGGCTCTCATCCTCCAGCCTGCCCTGGCTGGGGCCCATGTCAGAAATGAGCTGGTGTCACCCCAAGAAGAGGCTCTTTCGGTGCCAATAGGATGGGAGACAGGAAAGAAAGGGGCTCATTTCGGAAGCAGCCCCGGGGGTGAGGCAAGATGGCAGCTGCAGGAAAGACGTTCTCTGGCTCCCTTCGAGGCCAAGCTCCTGCCTGCCACCAGGCGCAGAAATGAGAGAGGTGCCAGCCTGGGAGGGCCCTGTCCTGGGAGGGTGCCTATCTTAGGACACTGGCCAGCCCCTGTCCAGCTTCTGAGTGACTCTTCATTGAAAAATGACCATTTGTCCTGCCAGTGCCGGAGGGCAGGAGCCAGTTTCTGAATTTGCCTTCAGGGGGCCTGACCGCATCCTGGCCAGCCCCCTCTTCCTCCCTAAGGTGCGACAGACACCACCCCCCGGCCCCCGCCAAGCTGGCTTGGTTGGGTGCAGCTGGAGTTGATGTGACTGACATTAAGGCAGCTGTGGTCTGTCCGCCTTCCTGAGCCCTTCTATGAGAGACGCAAGCCCCAGACTATGAATTTCTCTTTTGTACAATTACTCTAAATCTCCCGCCACACCCCGCCCCCATAAATAGTCCTAAAGTCTAATTATCGAATTTGTGTCCTGATAAACAGCCTAATCGCTCGAAACCATTTGCAACTGAGGAATGCGGTATCCTGAGCTAGCCAACAATCACTCTCCCGGCGTCAGAACCTCCCACCTCTTTTACAAACCTTATACTAGTTTGATTAATCACCTCCTGCCCATCTGAATCTTGTTCCCAAGGGCCCTGCCTGGAACCTTAGTCTTCAGGAATACACACACTGAGGCTAGGGAACTCAACCCCATTTGTCAGATCAGAACTTGCGTGGCGCTTGAGCGGTGCCGAGTCCGGGAGCTAAGCCTCTGCGAGCCTCTTGGCTCGCGTGCCCTCTCTTCCGCCTCCAACCACCCCGCCCCGCCCCGCCCCGCCTGTTGGCCATTCATTGCCCTCTTTACCTCCTTCCCTGCCTCTGGCGCCCAGTGCCCTCCCAAGCCCCACGGTCCCCGTGCCCTCACCCTGGCCCTTGCTGTAGAACCATTCTAAGGTCCTCATGTTAATTTTTCTAAGCTTCAACAACTTCCTCTGTGAGCATCGGGAGAGCTGTCTGCAGTCTCTCCCAGGTACTGGGGCGGCAAGGTCTCGCAGCCCATTGGGGTTCACGTCTGCTGGCAGCCACGAGACACAGCTCCCCTGCTTGCCCATAGGAGCCATTTTCTAGTTGTCCCATTACCTGAAGTAAGTCGGCATTACATCCGATTGTGTACGGTAATGGTCCTCCGCATCAGCACATTTGTTTACATACGCCATCTAATCGTTTTTATATAGAACCTAAGGGAGATCAAAGTTTAAAAATCGCACAAGGACTTCATGAAGGGCTATTCTGAAGCGACTTCGCATTCCTCCCCTCACTTGCTTGCCTGTGTCCTGCTGCCTTCCTTGAGGTTTTGGTTTCCCTTAGGGAGTCGACAGCCAGTTTAGCGGGCGCTACCAGTTAACCTTCAGAATAACATGCCTGCATTTAGGCTCCTTCTAGAGTGCCAATATCTTGGAGGAAAGGGCTGACTCTGATGTCAAGTTCTGTGGAAACAGTTTGTTTTTGTTGTTTTTTTTTCTGTTGGCTCTGGCCCTGCAGACAGTGGCTTTTTCCTTGCCAGACTCCTCTTTCTCCAAACTGAGCTATGAGGGCCGTTGTTGCCTCTGCTGGTTCTAGAGGACATAGGAAGCCAAGCGGGGGAGCTCCCACGTGCCATGGCCAGCACCCTCATCTGTGCCCCCTCCCAGCTGGTTCTGAGGCTTAGTTGCCTTTGCATCTTGTTTTGCTCCCATCTTCCCCTTCCCTCGGTCATGTGATGCAGGAAGAGAGCGCAAATGCTATGGAATGGGAGCAACTGCCAACAGAGACGCTGCGACAAGTGACCATTCGCCGAGACCCTATATATGGCTTTGGCTTCGTGGCTGGCAGTGAGCGGCCCGTGGTGGTGCGATCTGTGAGGCCAGGTAGGTGTTCCTCACAGTGTCCCCCCCTGGCCCCGGCTCCTTTTCCCCCAGCACCCACCCATCTTCCCAAAGAGCAGGGCTCCCCTGGAGGAATTCATGAAGAGCGGGGTAAAGACTCGCCGGCTAAGGACCGTGCGAAGGAGCTGGGCTTTCAGAGTGATCGACGCAAACCACTGAGGCTTCTTGCGGCCAAGACAGAGGCTGCGGTTGATGGTTTAGCAGAGTCTCGGTCTTAATGAAGCCTCCCTGCGCGTAGAACCTTCATAAAAGAGCCAGACTGCCTTGGATGACAAATGTCGATTCAATTCCATTCAACAAGTATTTATAGATTGCCTACTCTAAGCACGGCAAGATGGTAGGGAAGGACAAGACGCAGGCCCTGTCCCCAAGCGCCTAACCATCAGGCTGTGGAGACTGGTACCCACTCACAAGAAAGGTCAGCCGCTGACGGCTGGAATCAGGATATGGACCATAGGTGGGGGGTGGGGCGGGGAATGAAATCTCCAAATGCCACGGTGGCAGTAACGACAGCTGCCATTGATTAAGTGCCTACTGTGTGCTTTCCTCATCTTGCTTATTCCTCTCAGCCAAGCCTGCAAGGTGAGTCGTCCTCCCCATTTAACCAGATGAGGAAACTGAGGCATCGAGGAAGAGAAATAACTTGTCCAGGGGCACTCAGGTAGGAGGCAGCAGAGCCAGGATTTGGACCTGGCTGGGTCTGTCTGATGCCAATGTGGGAGAAGCAGGGCTTGAATGGGACCAGGTGGGAGGGAATCAGTGAAAGCCCCCACCTGAACTGTGGGATCCTGCCCTCATGAATGAAATGGGCAATGGCCTAAGCGCCGTTTCATTCCACGTCTGCTAGCCATTGACAGAAAAGATGAACAGAAAGCAGCTTTATTCCTGACTTGCTGGGCCCGAGGCTTTAGATGTTTACAACAGTTTTTCACTCAGTCAAGAGGAGCAGCCCGAGTACAAACTGGTCTAGCAGAAATTTGATGAATTTTGCAATCCTCAAAGGAAAAGAAAAAAAAAAAAGATTTTTGTAAGCTCCCTTTTCAACTAGAGAGCATAAAGAAAAAAACAAGCCAGTACAGGAGTTCGTGGCTGACCTCAGGCTCCCGAGTCAGTCACGCAGTCTGGTGGAAGGTTCTTGAGTCCCTGATCAGAAATCAAATCTGTCCTGCGTAAGAGGAATTGGGAAAAACTTAGTAGCAGACCACCCAGAGCCCCTGCTTTTGGCCTCAAGGGAGACAGGATTTACTAGGGCTGAAGGGAGCCCCTTGGCCTAGACAAGGGGGTCAGCCTCAAGCCATGTGAAAATGAAGAGGCAGAGTTGGAGGGGTGGGGACAAAGGAGAGCCACAGGAAATCATGGGGTTGGCAGGCATAGCCCTATAAAGACATAGGCCGATCCAGATCGCTGCTTCTGGCCCAGGAGGCTCTTAAGGGCAGAGGCTTTTTTGGTTCTGTATTTGAGATAAGATAAAGGATAAGAGGCATCCTATAGAGGACCAATCACGGTGGGGCCGGCCAGCACAGCATTCCAGGAAAGTGGTAGTAGATTGCCGCCCACCACTGCCGTCAGAGTTCAGTTTCAGGAGGACCACTTCCGTTAAAAGGAAGGAAGGGAGGGAGTGGGGAAGGGGTAGAGTGGCCTCTCTACCAAAAGATCGGCATGTTGGCAGGAGGAGATAGAAGGAATGAAATGAGTTGAGGGAATTGCCCCCTTCGAGGATAATAACTACCGTCTAGTGAATTCGTACCGACATCAGCCAACCATCTAAAGTGCTGTACACTCATCATCTCCTGTATCCGCCCCACATTCTTATGAGGTGGAGGCACTGTGATTTTCCCATTTTCCAAAGGAGCAAAGAGAGACAAGGTCACACAACCAGTGAGTTGCAGATTTGGAATTGGAGTTCAGGTCTGGCTGGCTGCCAAGAGTGGGGCCTCCCCCGCCGTTCCCTGCCCCTGAAAGTCACTGTGCTATCAGGACACTTGGCCACCAATGCAGGCAGAGTGGTGGGTCTTGCTGGCCAAGCCGCATAGGCCCCCTCAGCACACAGGCCCCACGCTCCAGAACCACCACCGGGCCACGCTCAGGTGACAGAGGGGTTCTGTATGTTCTTGCTTCTGGTGCTGGCATAGCACACTTCTTTGTAGAAAGAGGGAACAGTTGGGATCCAGCCCTGGAAGGCAGGCACAAACAGGAGTCAAGCCTGGTTTGAGAGTGGGACCTGTCAGGAAACATTTCTTTGGGGCTTGAGTTAGGCTGGGCCTGACTTCTCATTCTCCCTGCATCTCCGAGGTCTTGGCTAAACACCAGATTCAGCACACTCCGTGGCACCCTTCGACCCCCGTTCTTTACCCCAACCAGGAAGGTATGGCCCTCAGACAGCTCTGCTTTCTTAACCTCGACAGTGGAGTTGGGAAGGACAGGAAGCAAATTTCCAACTGTCCGTGATTTGGGGTCTGTTCTTGTTCCCCTCACCTACTGAAGAGTGGCATGTCTCAGAGATGAGAGGAGTTAAACCCTCTGGGGCTTTTAGTCCATCCCCCTGTCTTCAGGCAAGTGACTGCCTAAATCATTCCTGACCAGCGAGTGGGGGTATTGCTCGGGTGAGAAGATTCCTTATCGCTCCTCGGACCTCAGCAGATGCCCCGTGGTGAAAGGGAAACCCATGTCCCTCTTTAGAACCCAGCCAGGAAAGTACGTATTCACCTGGCCTGAGGGCCAGGCCTGGGCTTGGGACCTTTTGCTCCCACACCACTGGCAGCCACAGGAGGTCCGAGCTATTCTCCTTCTTCGGTCTTCTGCCCTCTGTCTGGCACAGGCAGCCGTGGCACGAACAGCACCCCTACCACCAGCCCGCACGGCCTGCACTCTTTCCTGCAGGCTCTACGGTCCCCACTGCAGCTCCCTCAGGCACTGGTGACCCCTGCCCGGACCTGCGCTTTCCCGGCAGTGGCCCCAAGCCCTCATGCCTCTCTCCTCTCCTCTGCAGGAGGCCCCTCTGAGGACAAGCTCCTGGCTGGTGACCAGATTGTGGCTATTAATGAGGAGGACGTGAGTGAAGCCCCCAGGGAGAGGTTCATAGAACTCATCAGGTAACAGGGACCTCTTGGGCCTTGGCAGGAGCTGAGTACTGATCCCTCCCTCCCCTGTCCCAGCAGTGGCATAGGGCTACCATGGTCCTCCCTGGCCCTGAGAGGGAAGCCCTGCAGGCTGAGCAGCCCTGACCAGGGCTCCTGGCTACCCGGGACTTCTGAGGCCAGGCCTGCCAGGGCCCCAGGGTCCCTCACACTCTCTGGCTTAGCCTTCTCCAGCGATGTGAACAGAGAACAGCCTTCTTCAAGAGTTCATCTCGCCTTCCTCACCCTTACTTACCCCCCCCCTCACCGAAGCCCCTCGGTCTTTGACTTACAGTGCAGGGGGACAGACCCAGTGAGCGATGAGAACCAAACAGGCCATTAAAAGACCACTCTGGAAAAAAACAAAAAAGAACACTCTGAGATAAGCACAGTGTGAGCCAGGTAGTGTTTCCCACGTCTCCATACCCTACTGCACCAAAACAAAAACAAACAAACAAAAAAAAACCTGAGGAGAAGAAAATCTGAATCCCTGGCTAATGGGTTGAGGAAGGGAACCTGCCATTGTGGATGCTGCTTGCTGTGTGTGTGACCTCTTAGTGCCCTCTACAGATGGGGGCAAGAGAGAGAGAGAGAAAGGAGTGTCAGGGGGACTCTCACCATCTGTACACGGGGGCAATCATGGTGACTTTTCCCCTCCTCACCCCTACACATGCCACACACATACACGCTATACACATATAGCCAGTCCCCTACCTCACACTCGTACCACGCATGCGCGCACGCACACGCGCACGCACGCACACGCACGCACACCTCCTCGCATAGACGTGTTGATAAGGAATAAGAGGATAGAGGTGAAGGCTCTAAATTCCAGGAGTTGTCTTCTGCTTTGGTGACCTTGGCTGTCTCCTCCCAAATGGACCTATGTGCTCTCTTGCTCTCTCTCTCTCGCTCTCTCTCTCTCTCTGCCTTGTGTGGTCTGCTCTCTCTCTGCCTCCATCCCTTTCAGGCCCTCTCTTGGTTTAGAATGTTCTTCATCTCACTCGTCTTTCTCGTTCTCCCAAATCCCACCTGTCCCCAGCGCCCCTCCCCCCCTCCGAAGGCAGATTTAGCACACTTGGGATGGAACAGCACCCTCTCGCTAGCTCTGGAAGCATTTGGAGTGCTCCCTCCCGAAGTCCAGGGCAGGTCTTCCTCGAGATGCTCCCCTCTCCAGCTCACATCTTGAAACGTGCCTGGTCCCTAATGACGTTTAGTTGGTCTCTCCTCCAAGTTCAGTGGTCCATTGCATCCCCCCCACCCAACTCCACCCTTGACCCTCCACCACCACACCAAAATGGGGTAAGTCCTTTCAACCCCATCGAGGGCGTGTTGGGGTTCTCTCAGCCTGACCGTCCAGAAGTGTTTGCTCTGCTCCTAGTGAATATCTTTGTACCCTAGAACAGGTAGCCCAGTTTTGTGAGGGAGTCCAGAGCTCCTCCAGGATCAAGACAGAGCTCACTCATTTGATAACCCTGGGGGCCAGCAGATTTTTATTATTTCATTCAATCAATGAATATTTGTTATCGAGTGTCTACTATGCACCAGGCACTCTTCAAGTCACCGAATATACAGCAATGAATGACAGAAATCCCACTGGAGTTTATGTTCTCGTGGAAGGAGACACGCCTTAACAATAAACATGACAAATATGTAATTGTATGGCATGCCGGAAGTAGATGAAGGTTATCAAAGGATAGAAAGTGGATCGGGATAAACCGGGTCCTGGAGTGCTGGGCATAGTGGTGCTTTAAATAGCCTGGCCAGAGTTAGCCTCATTGAGAAGGTGGCAACTAAAGAAAGACTGAAAGGAGGGAGGGTGTCGGAGAGGGAAGAGCCAGTGCAAAGGCCCTGAGGCAGGAGTGTGTCTGTCGTGTTTGGGGAGCAGGGGAGAAGCCAGGATGAGAACTGGGGTAAAGAGGGGAAGACCTGTAGCCACTATAAGGACTTCGGCTTTGTTCTACGTGAAATGGGGCAATGTGGCAGGGGCTCGGGCAGACGCGTCACATAATCTGATTTACACTATGCCCTCCCCTGTTCAAGAGACAGATTTTCCTGTGGGGTTTTCCTGGAACACAGCTCCTTCCTTCTCCCGGGAGCTCCGCATCCCTGGACTTGGCCTCACTGAATGTGGAAAATGTTCCAAGTCCTTGAGCAGGAGGCCCTGGCCTTCCTTGAGTATCTAGAACCAAGTGATCGCGACTCTGCTTCTTGAATACCCTTGTTCCCAGAAACGTATGAAAAGTTCCAGCGAGGAGAAGGGAAGCTCCTTCCAGGCAAACGCTTTCCATTTCTCTCAGTTCTTTTAAAGGACTGTGTATTCCCAGGGGAGAATTTTCATACCTCATGGCCTGTTCGATCACTGGCATAATTCTTGTCGGAGGAGTTTCAAATTCTTCATCCCCTTGAATATTTGCTGTCTGGAGAGCCTTGGTTCCATCTGTTGCTCCCTAGCTCTCATTTTTTGGTCCTTCAATTAAAACAGATCTGCTGAGTATGAGTCATGATAACCAAATGACCTCCTTTGGGTTTTTCCTTTGAATTTCTCCTCTTGCTTAAATACCAAATTGCCAATTGAGTTCCATAATTCAGGCCTTTAGTTTTCCTTGAGAATCTTCTATTCTACAGATAAAATTGCTCCTAAGGTTTGGGGAGATCTACAGAGCGAATGTGAGAGGGAAATAGAACGGGAAGACTTGAAAAATGACAGCCCCAGAGATTATGGTAATGCCTTCTTCAGATGCCTGTGTGAACCTCTGTGGATGGTTTCCGTCGGCCACCACAAATGTGATGGGAGGCGAGGCGGCCGGGCAGATAAGTCGGAGTGCCCGCTGGCCTCATCCATATCCCTGAATGCAGCCCAGGGGAGAATTCTGGTGTTGCTTCTCGTGCGAGGTGAATACCTAGTGCATGATACACTACTGTCCTGTTCCTTCTTCTCTCTGTAGGAGCGCTAAGGAATTCATCGTTCTTACAGTTCTGCACACTCATCAGGTGAGTGAGCCGCTGTGCCATCCACCCTTCCTCCTGACGGAGGTGACAGAGTCCCGTATTGGAAAGTGACCGTGACGGGAGGGCGGGTGGACGGTGAGACTAGAATCCACATGTTGTGAGCCAAAGCTTGAGGAGTGAATGTAAAGCATACCTTCTGAACATCTGAGTCTGCTTTCTACCTTCAAGGCTTGGGGATTTTTTGAAAGGCTCTCCAGTGCTATGTTCTGCCCTGTGCCCTCTGCTTTACCCACACTGAGGCCGCGCGCTCACTGCTCCGGTCCCAGACAGATTTTCTACCTCTTTTTTTTTTTTTTGGCTATGCCCCATCAAAATGTACCTGTCCAGGGTCCAACTCCCACAAAGTCCTTGCAGATGGTGGGTGCTAGCTAGTCTCATTCATTCATTCATAGCAGTATTTACTAGACGGCATGCAACATATGAAGCCCTGCACCGCATGGGGGAAATTTAATATGACGTTGGTGGGAAAGTACGGTGGGACGAACCGTTTCATCTTTGTCCCGGTACAGTCACTGACTAGCTGTGTGACCTTGGGTGGGTCAGTTCCAAAAAGTTCCCCGTCTGTAAATTGAGGGGTTTAGACTAGAACAGTGTTTTCCAAACTTGACTGGTCAAAATAGTCAACAGGACTACTTATTGAAAGTAAAATTCCTGGGGCACCTGGTGGCTCAGTCGCTTAAGCATCTGCCTTCGGCTCAGGTCATGATCTCAGGGTCCTGGGATGGAGCCCCATGCTGGGCTCCCTGCTCAGCCGGGCTTCTCCTTCTCCCTCTCCCTCTACTGTTCCCCCTGCTCGTGCCCTCTCACTCTCTCTCTCAAATAAATAAATAAGATCTTTTAAAGAATAATAAAAATAAAATAAAAATCCCCAGGCCCCTCTCCTCAAGAGTTGGATTTAGAAGGCCCAGAGTCCATTACTAGGTTACTTTGTTATAGTAATCTTTCTTAAATGCACAGACCCAGGTGCAGAACTTTTATGTGCAAAACTCAGAGCCCTCCTTCCACCTCCAGCCTAGTTGTCCCTTCTCAGTGTCCCCAAGACTCCCCTGACCTCCAGCACTCATGTCCCACCTCCATGGCCACAGGAGAGGTCCCATCTGTGGGGGGCGGGGGGCATGAAATCAGGACAGCTTTCACAGAGGAGGCTGCACCTGAGCTGGACCTCCAGAGATGGGGCAGGATTTCCCAGGCAGAGACAGAGGGAAAGATTTTCCAGAGAGTCGGCACTTCTGGGCAAAGTCAGGGACAGCGTGCAGGTGCAGAGCGTGGGCTCATCAGTTGGGGATGGGGTTCAAATCAAGCTCTGGCACTAACTGCCTTTCTGCGTGGCTCCCAGTGTGAAACACACACACACACACATTTACACAGGCACATTCTCTCTCCCTCCCTGCCCTCTCCCCCTTCTCCCTCTCCCTCTCATACTTGCTCTCTGGCAAATAGGCCTTTCTCAATTACAATTCTCCTGTATCTCTGGGCAGGCAAGTTCTACCCCTCAGTGGGTGTTACCAATAGACCCCTCCCTCCCTCCCTTACTGTGCAGGTGCAGTTGCCTAGTGGACAGTGGACAGTCATTCCCCACTCCCCAGTCTCCTGTCATGAAATGGCTACCAGTTCTCCCCCCCCACCAAAAGAAAGCATGCTTGTTGTGTTTTACCCCTCTGATCAGAGACCCATTGTGCGTTACTGTTAGTCAGGTCCCTCAAATGTTGTCTCCTCCTAGAAGCCTTCCTTGACTACCCTTTTTAAGACAGCATCAGCCTCTCATGGCCAATGCTGCATCATTTTTTCCCTCAAAGCGAAAATATTATATTTGTAAACTTTTTATTCGGAGATCATTACAGACTCACAGGAAGTTGCAAAGCTCGTATCCACATCCCTGTGTACCCTTTACCCTGTTTCTCCCAAGGGTTACGTCTCCCAGAACTAAAGTACCATTTCAAAACCAGGACATTGACAGCAATACAATGTGTGTATAGGGTTCAGTGTCAGTCTGTCACATGTGTGGTGTGGGTCCACGTGGCCACCAGCACAGTCAAGACACTGGACAGTTCTATCACTACAAGGACTGCTCACCTTGCCCTTTTATAGCCACACCCCTCTCTCGCTCCACCCCAACCCCCATCAACCACTAGTTTATTCCCCATTTCTGTAATTTCGTCATTTCCAAAATATTATATACACAAAATAATATAGCACGTAATCTTTTGGGATTGCCTTTTTTTTTTTTTCACTCAGCATGGCGCCCTTGAGAGTCATTCAAGTTTTTGCCAGTATCAGTAGTCTGTTCCTTGTTAATTGCTGAGTAGTATTCCATGGTGTGGATGGACTGCAGGCTGTTTGGTGATTCACCCAAGCCTTATTAGAATGTCAGCTCCACGAAGACAGGAGCTGTGTTTCATTCACTGCTGTCTCCCCAGCACCTGGAAGAGCACCTGCCACAGACTAAGCATTCAATAAGGATGTGTTGAAGGAATAAAGAAAACCCAGCTTCCAGCCATCATGGCAACCCACACTCAGGTGTCCAAACATAGGTGCAGAATGAAGAGTCTAACGCTGCCCCCCACCTCTGTTCCAGCTCTCATCCCAGTGCCCCCAACACCCCTCTGCCCTCCAGTTCTGAAGTCCCCACTGTGCCATCCCACGGCCTCTTTGCTATGACCAGGCTGCTTTCCTTCTCTCCGTGGTCCAGATCTTAGTTCTTACAGCCCTGCCGGCTTCTGTCCTTGTACGGCTCCACACTTCTTCTAAACGGGTCTGTTTCCTTTAAGACCTGGCTTGAGACTCTTCCAAACACCTCTGCCTGACTAACCTCAGTGAGAGTTTCTCATTTGTTTGCCTGTTCAGCAAACATCTATTGAATACCTACCATTCGAGGTGCTCTTCGAAGCTAGGAACCTGGCAGTCCACGGGACAGACATGGTTCCTATCCTCACAGAGCTTACACTCTAGTACTTCGCCTTATGCTTTCAAAACCCTTGGAGCATAGAAGTGAGCACACACACAGGGGCGATAGTTGAAACAATTAACCTGTACAGTCGGAGCCATTAGATCAGAATGTAAGCCAGCCATGGGCACTGGAGCAGAGTCTTGGAGGCCTCTTGACTGTGCCAGGTGTTAACCCTTCAGATGACCACTGGTAAAGAGGTCCCATGGGAGAGGTCCCATGGCACCCAGGAAGCTTAGGGCAGTGGCTGCTTCCCGATCGGTGTGAAAGAAACCCTCACAACAGGTATGGCCATACCAGTGCATCCCAAGTGAATGTCAGCCTTGCATGCATGCATAGTCGATCCTCACTATTCGCAGATTCTGTGTGAGCAAGTTCACCTACTCCCTAACATGTATTTGCAACCCCCAAGTCGAGACCCATGGTGCTTTCCTGGTCACTTGCGGACATAAGCAGAGCATGAAAAATTTGGGTCTCCTAATGCACATGTTGCCGGCTGAGGTCAAAGAAGGCAGCACTCTGCCATCTTGTTTCAGCTGTCACACGGAGGTGTCCAGAAGATAGAGATGGCAAGGAGCAGTGCGGTATAATGCAAGAAGCTCGGGCTCTTGGATGGGATTTGAATCCCAACTCTGGCACCTGTTAGTGGGGCGGCCTCAGGCAAGTCACTGAACACTTCAGAACTTCATTTTCTCCTAGTGAAATAAAATAGAATCTACCAGGATGAGTTGTTTTTAGAATTCAGAATTATAATCTGTGTGAGACATATACACACACTCGCGCTCATGCGCGCGCACACATGCACACCTGCGTGCACGCACATGCACACCTGAGCGCACGCACACATTTCCCCTAGGAGCAACTGTTCAGTATTCATTCGTTCCATATTCGAGGTGACTTTATAAAATGTAACTAGCATGAGTCACAAAAATTGACCGAGACAGAGAATCTTCTCTCAAGTTATAATGAGAGCTTATCAACACCCCCCAGCCTATGTTCCGTGTGATAGCCCCTGCATCACAGAGCATAGTCCAGCATCCACAGCAGGCACTTGACATCTTACGGTTGCATGGAGATTACCACTTCTTCCAGAAGACAGTCTCCCTGTAGGTCCAGCTGGGGCTCCTTCCGGCTTCTACTTTCCGTGGTTGAGGAGGGTCCAGTACAGTGGTTCTTGACCCTGACTACACATTAGAAGCACCTGAGAAGCTCTTAAAACTATTGATACTCAGGCTCTAGCCCTGAGCAATTGAATTCGAAGCTTTGGGGAGGGGACCCAGGTGTTGGTCTTTCAAAAAGGCTTCCAAAATGATCCTTATGCAGCCAAGGTACATATCAAGAACTACTGATCTAATATGTAGTCTCTTTCAGATGACATTGTTCTTTTAACGGAGTGACTTTTATGTTGGCAGACCATTCAGGGTATTTTATTGGGGTGATCACAGGGGTCCATTCCCAGGGCCCCCCCAACCATACTGCCTCGATAGCCACTTATTACGCCCATATGTATTTAAAGGTGTTTCTTAATCTTCGAGTGACCGACTGTCTCCTGTGATTGACTCAATATGTATTAATTTTGGTACCCTTAGACCTTGGCACATGGTATGTCCTCAATAAATATTTTTAAAGTACTTTGTCGTGACCTAGAATGGCCCTGGTGAAGAAAGTAGACAGTCCCTTCAAATGACGCTCTAGTTTTCCAGTACCGAAGACTTACCTGTACCCAGAGAGCCAGGATTCCCCTCTGCTTGGAGCCACCTGCCCAGAAAAAAAGGCCAAAATAATGGGAACTACTGCAGAAGCACTAGTTTTCCACAGAGCTTCTTGAGGTATGGTGCTTGGCAGATGGTAGGTACTCAAACCATATTGGCCGAATTGGTGAACTAATTCATTATGAACAGTAGCAATCAACTGCTACCTCTAATTCTGTGCTTACTCTATGCTTGGTGCTAGGGGTAGATATAGTAATATAAAATCCCATCTCTTCTTTTACAAGCTGGGGGTGGAGGACATGAGTGGATATGAGTGTGGATTAACAAGGAGTACTATAGGGGAGCCTGGGTGGCTCAGTCGGTTAAGCGTCTGACTCTTGGTTTCGGCTCGGGTCATGATCTCAGGGTTGTGGGATCAAGCCCCATGTCAGGCTCCACACTGGGCATGGAGCCTGCTTCAGATTCTCTCCCTCTGCCCCTCCCCCCACTTCTATCTCTCTGGGGAAAAAAAGGGGGAGAGTACTATAGGAAATCCAGGGAGGGCACTGGAGGAATTGGGGAAGAACTCAGGACCAAGGTAGAATTTGAGCTGGGCTTTAGAGATGACATTTAGCTAAGCAAAGGGGACACTGGGGGCCCAGAAGAGCAGGGATGGTGAAGAGGCAGCTTGAGGTGGGTGCGGAAGTGGGAAGCAGCCCGATGTGGGCACTGTGGGCACAACCACCTGTCGGGGCCAGAGATGAGGAATGGGGGTCATGTGTGGCTCGCAGGGGGCCTTGGAAGCCAGAGAGAGGGGACATGTTCACCTCCAGGCCCCAAGTGCAGATAGGAAGGCTCTGGGTCCCTTATCAGTAGTCTGGTGAAACCAGGATGGCCCTCCATTGTCCCAGACTCTCACAGTGGTTGCCATGGGAATTGCTTATAAAGAGCCTCAGGTGTCAAAGACAACAAGCCAGCGGAAAGGAGACTAGGAGGCTGTGGGTGCTATAGGAACCTGAGCTTTGTCCTCACACAATCCAAGCGGGGCCCTATCTCGCACTAAAATGTCGGGCCATATAACTGACTTTGAACCCAACCCTGAAATCTGTACTAATAGAGCCACCAAATTAAAAAAAAAAAAAAAAATGGGCAGAGAATCACCAGCTGCTGAATTCAGTCCTGAGGGAGAGGCAGACTCTCTCCTCTATTGCTTATCCCACTGAGCTGCTGGCTTCATATTTGCTTTGAGGGGCTTACAGTGGCCCTGGCGGTGCTTCGTGATTCTGGTCCCGTGTTTCCAGCCAAAATTCATTTTTGCCAGCGAGGGTGCCTGTTGCAAAATGAGACTCCCAGCTGCTTGAGGGAAAAAAATGGGGTCAGTGAAGAGCTCAGATGTCCCAGCTTTGAAGGTACTCAATTAATCTCTGCTTAATGGGCTAAGACATTTTCAACAATATAAATTCCTGTGCCTCATGCTCCTAGAGATTCTGACTTTTTATGTCCACCGTGCACCTAGAAATCTGTGCTTCAGCAAGCGCTCCCTAGTGAGTCTTACCATCAGGAAAGTTTTGGAAACAGTGGGGCATGCATGCTAACGAGTTAGTGCGGGGGTCAGCAAACTTTTCTTCTGTAAAGGGCTGTCTAGTAAATATTGGAAGTTTTGTAAGCTATGCATGATCATTGCAAAAGCAAACACAGGTAGTGCCCAAGTGAAGATCACGGCTGTATTCCGATAAAGTTTTATTTACAAAAACAGGTGGTGGGCAGGATTTGGCCCAGGCAGGCCCGCAGTCCACCGACCCCAGAATTCTGTTCGCTACTCCTCCCTGGTACTGCATTCATGCTTTGATGACGGTCTTCCTGATTCTCAACTTTTTCATTCAAAAGAGTGACCCTGGCATTAAGAACTTCAGGCCACATAGCTGAGCTTCAAAGATGCTTCGGAACAGGGCAACCTTTGAGAACCCCTCCTATCACACTGTAAGGTAGACATCACCTGTGTGCGGGCATCAGGCTAGACGTGAGTCCGTGACATGTAGCCGAGACCAGCTGGCGATGAGGGACTCACCATCAGTGATCAAGGCTGAAGACTGAGAATAGGACAGAGTCTTTTTTTTTTTAAAGATTTTATTTATTTATTTATTTGAGAGAGAGAATGAGAGAGAGAGAGCACATGAGAGGGGGGAGGGTCAGAGGGAGAAGCAGACTCCCTGCTGAGCCGGGAGCCCGCTGCGGGACTCGATCCCGGGACTCCAGGATCATGACCTGAGCCGAAGGCAGTCGCTTAACCAACTGAGCCCCCCAGGCGCCCGAACAGGACAGAGTCTTAGAGACGGACAGGACAAGGGTGAAGGAGGAATGAGGCACAAACAAACTGAAAATAGCTCTACCACAGACACCGGAAATGATTACAGTCCCTGAAAATATGGGCAGTTCCACTTCCTCCTTCATGATTTTGCTCCTATAAAAATATCTGAATCTTTAGTGTATACTCATATCTGTCAGGCAGGATCCAATCTGGGACTTTTGGTAGGGATGCCAAGGAGGCTGTCCTCTCCTCATAGGTGAAGACAAAAAAGGATACCAGTTGCGGTCCTTCGTACGTTCAAAGGTCCATTCAATAAGACCGGGGTTGAACCAGAACCAGTGGGGGAAAGATCGGGAATGGACACCCAGCTTCAGCTGGCTATGGGGCCTGGTCGCCAATCCAAGACTCGGGAAATCTGGGTTTTAGTTTCAGCTCCACTACCAAATTATTTTGATACTTTGAGCAGACCATATCCTCTTCCCAGGCCTCCGTTTTCATGTGTAAAAATGAAGGGTGGACTACATGGCCCTCTGAGGCCTCTAGAGACGCCTCGGTCCACACGGGGCATGAAGGCATCCGATGATGGGTGGTTACAGAGAAAGCAGGGGGTGACGGGTGGACGCGAAGATTTTACCTGCCTCGTGTCTGTGGCGCCCCAGGTGGACATTCGGACTACTGTGGAGACAGAGCCAAGCAGAACTGCCTGAACATAGCTCCAGATCGTTCTGTCTTGCCCCTGTCCTGTGCTCCTGCAGCCTGCAGGCCCTGCCCAGGATTTAAGCACCAAGCTGTGTGCAACACACAAAGGCATTTCTTGACTCCCATGAACAATCAATACTGTAATCACTTTCTGCAACGATCTCCAGCCCTGGATTTTGTTGTGCTGTATCATCTGCTGCCAACAAACCGCCTCTGTGGCTCGGGATGAGAAGTCTGCTGTTCCTTTAGCTCGGTGGTTCCCTGCAACTTGAGCCACGTTTTGAAGTCATTGGAAACTTACCCCCCCAAAAAATGCCAATACCTGGGCCCCAGCACCAGGAATTTGAGGTCATTGATCTGGGGCAGGGCCTGGGCATCAGGGGTTTTGAAAGCTGCCCCACTGTTTCTGTCACGCAGCCAGGACCGAGACCCACCGCCTGAGGTTCGAGTGCACTTGGGTCAAACAGGTGGCTTTCTGCAATCTGCCCTCTGTGGGGAGCGAGATTGCTGGCTCCGGAAGAGAACACAGCTGGGACCGGGGCCCAAGACCTGATGAGAACATTTGTTTCTGGTGTGTCTTTATCTTAGGGCCCTGCCCTCCTGTGACCGATCTGATAAATGGATTTCAACTGCGGCGTTAATGGCAGAAAATAGCTTAATGTATCCCCTTCCCAGCTGGCAGGGGCCTTCAGGACCTTAACTCTCAGGGATTCTTGATTGTGGGATTCGAAGGCTCCGTGACAAAGCCGGTAGAGGAGGTAGTTTGAAGGAGCCCCAAACCCGGTGTAGCCCCTAGTCCTGCTCATCTTAGTAAGTGGCAACTCTGTTCTTCCAGTTGACTCCTCTCTTTTTCTCACCTCCCACATCCAGTCCATCAACACATCAGCTCGGTTCTATCTTCAGAATGGATCCAGAATTCACTCCCTTTTCATCGCCTCCATTATTACTACCCTAGCCCAGGCTGCCATCATATTTTAACTGTATTATTACAGGAGACTGCAAACTGGTCTCCCTCCTTTGGGCGTCAACCCTCCTACGCTGTTTTCCACACCACAGCCAGAGGCATCCTTTTAAAATGCAAGTCAGACCCTATCTGCTTAAAACCCTCCAGCAGAGTCAAATCCAAAGTTCTTGCCGTGGCTGACAAGGCCCTAGGTGACCCAGCCCCCACTCGCCTCTTTGAATGCCACTCCTCTGGCTCCCCATCCATGGCTCTGCTCCGGCCACACTGGGCTTCCTTGTGGTTCCTCATGCACCCCGACGCCCCTCCCACCTCAGAGCCTTTATCGTTCTTTCTGCCTGGGAAGCTCTCTCTCCCTCACTTGCTTCCGGTCTCTGCTTAAATGTCGCCTCCTCTGAGAGGTCTCCCCTGAACATCCAGTCTAAAATAATGCCCTCATCACTCATCCCTCCTCACTCATGCATTCTCTTGTGTAGCCCTTCACCCTGCTTGATTTGGCCTCAGGGTCCTTCTTTGCTACCTAAAGAGTATTGATTTGTTTATTGTCTGTCTGATCCTGCTAGATGGATGCTCTTTGAGGCCTGGGAGTTTTGTGTTGCTCACTACTGAATCCCTCATCACCTAGAACAGTGCCTGCAAATAGGAGGTCCTCCCTAAATTTGCCACAAGAATGAATAAATGCCCCCAAAGACATGAGGGGGCCCCTCAGCAAGACTCCTGATTTTCCTTGAATCATCTTCTATAATCTCCTTCCTGGGGGCAGGGCATATCTATGAGATGAATAAGATCATTCCTGTAACTCCTTTGAGATGCTCGTATTCAGATTAATAAAAGCTGCCATTTAGGTATATCTCACACTACGAAAACCAAATATGTAATCATTCAGTGTATGTTATTACTAAAGAATTTTTGCAAACTCCCCTAGGCCTAGAGTGTTAATAATGGGATTCGATTTACCCAAATTCAATTCATGCCCAGCATTTTTCAGAACACACCAATCATAGAAGGAAGCACTTAGCGTGTTGCCTTGCACCTAGTAAGGAATCAATACTTATTGATCGACTTATTGATCAGTAAGGCCAAGTGTACCCGTACTGAGACATCTTAACTCCAGCGTGGCAAAGGTCAGGTATTTCCCAGGATGGAGAACTCACCGGCCCTCTGTTCTTTTTGCAGTCCCCCAAATCTGCCTTCATCAGCGCTGCGAAGAAGGCCAGGCTGAGATCGAATCCCGCAAAGGTCCGATTTTCTGAGCAGGTGGCAGTTGGAGAAACAGACGCGGTAAGTGCAGCTTTATTTAGCTCCCTGTCTTCGGCCCTTGGCTAGAATCAGCCTGGCCATGGAGGTCTCGCTCTGGCGCTCATCTGCGGCTCCTCGGAGTGGGCAGCATTACGAACGGAGTTGGAGGGGAAGGACCACAGGGCCCCGGGCTAGTAGCGAGTTAGGAGTATGTGGCATCCCGAGCACCGAAGCTTACACTCCGAGCCAGCCCTCCACGAACATCGCTGGGCTATTTGACAGAAGCAGGAAGGAGGAGGTAGTGGTTTTCTAGATTCGGAGCCAGAGCGGCTGGTGAAATCGAGCTCTCTTCACATTGAAGTGGTCCCACAATGGCAAATCTTGACGGGAGAAGACACCAGCGAGCAGCCTGGGGGATATGATACAGACTCTCCTTGTCACAGAGCTTTGATTAGGCACCTGCGGTGTCCTCAGCACCACAAGGGATGCAAAATAAACACCTCTTCCCTGCCCCTGGATACCACTCAGTGATGTTGAAGGGTCAGGGGGGTGGGGAAGTAGTTCAGATTGAGATGACACAGCATCCCCCACTGGGTGGTATGGTTTCAAGGAGCAGGTGATGCTTGACGGTCCATTGCCAAGCAGCTGCCAGGCTAGGGGGTGGGGGAGGGTGGGGGGGTTCATGGCCCACCCGCAGTCTTTCTCACTGCTCTGTGGGGGTTTCCGTGAACTGAGCTGTCTGCTCCACATAAGAGATGGGTGGAGGGCAGAGAGGTGTGTGTTAAGCAGTCATGGATTATGGCCCGAGTCCCCCAGGAGTCTGCAGAAGTCCGTGATAGCCAGGTAGGGGTGGGGGGCGGGGAGAGCCAGAGCTACCAGGCATTTGTGCACTTTTGAGGCTTCCGCGGGCTGGGCTCCCGGGAGGCCCATGGCCTGTCTGTCCGAAGCACAGCTGCAGTTGAGAAAAGAAGCCAGCAGGCCCAGCCCAGTGGGGAAATCTGTGGGGTGCCAGGCACTTGTGTAGATCTGTGAAGTAGAGCCACTCAGAAGAAGGGTTAGAGGACACAGGTGTCTTTCATCGCCTTTTCCCTGGCACTCATTCCCAGCCTCAGCCCAGGCCCTCTTCCATCCCCGTTCAGGGGCGGCTGAGAAGCCCAGGGGACTCCAGGTTCCCCCTGGGGAAGCTGCCACATAATTGGTGGTTGGGCTCCATCTCCGTCCTAGCAGAAGAGGTTCAAGAGAACTGGGGGGTTGGTGAGCAGAGAGAAGAGGGAACTGCGTGGAAACCCTGCAGATTGTGATGAAGGACACCCTTAGGGCCAAGTCACTAAGGGGACATGTGTGTCCTGAGCCCTCAAAAAGCCAGAGGAGATGCAAATTGAATCTGGAAAGGACAGACTCTCAGCGTTACAGAGTAATCACTCAAGACGAGGCCACCAGGGGAAAACCTCCCCTCCACCTCTCCCTTCCCTTTCTCCTCCCCTCTCTGCCTCTCCCCTCTACTCTCCCCTCTACTCTCCCTTCCCCTCTCTCCCCTCCCTCTACCATGATTCCCCTCTCCATACATCTCAGCCATCCACAGGCAAGATCAAGCCCCCACCCCAGGCCAACCTGAAAGCAAATGCCCCAGAGTGGCTAGGCCCCACCCAGGGTGCCTTCTGTCGCTCCTGGACAGGCCACCACGTGCAGTGTGAGGCTCTTGACTGAGAGAGAGACAGACAGACATCAACCTTCCCGCTCTAGCTGTGCTCAGGAAATGGCCTGATGTCACAACCCCCACCTCCCATGCCACCAGTGTGGACCCTAGCAGCCTCACCATTGGTTGGGACCTAGGGGAGGCCAGGCCCACTCCAAGGCTGTCCTATCATCCCTTTGCCTCAGTGTTCTGGGGCTTTATTAAGCAGCCAGAGCAAAAATAAATCCTGTGGGCGTTCCTTGCCAACCCTATTTTTAAGCAAAATCAATTAAGTAATTATCTGAGTCCAACCCCGTGTGCTAAATAAAACCTGCCACCGCTGAGTGTCATCAGCCTGGAGATCCAGGGCCTCTGGGCTTGGTAGGAGCAAAGCATCTAAGGATCAGGCCGAGAACCAAGGAGTCACACTTTTCCAACTTTATACCCACTCCTGGCTGCCCCCCACCGCCAACCAAACCCCAACACGGGAGGACTTGCTTGTTCATTTTTTCATGTCCGCCACAGTCCCTAGATGTGGACTATCCCTCTTCGGGCCTCTCTAGTGGTCTACGCCCGCTGTCTCCTTCAAAATCAAAATCTAATTAGTCTCACCCAGGAAATCTTATCTATCTTACAGCTTTTGATTTAGTTTTGGTTTTATAATTGCTCTCTAGTGGATTCGTGTGGATGTGCCCGGTCTCTACAACAAGAGTATAAGACCAAACCCAGTCCTCTATTTTTGCCTGGCCCTCATGGAGCTTACTTAGCATAGTGTGGGGCGTATAGGAGAGACTCAATGAATGCCCACTGAATTAAGGATTTCTGGCCATTTTAGGCAGCTTTTTGGTTCCTATAGACCTGGTGATGGCCCAGGGAAACGATTGGACTCTCCTGATGATTCTAATCATTCAAGTAAGCACATATTAAGCATCTACTGCTCATATATTCAGCACCCATATGTTGAGCACCAACTATGTGCCAGGAACTCTGCTCAGTGTCAGAACTACAAAGATTGAATAGGGCCATGGGTGGGCTACGAGTTCACCATTTGTGAGAGACAAACATTCTTTAAAAATATGCTAAGAACACTGAAAATGGTGTGTGTGACATTACTCTGAGAACACACAGGAACACCACGTCCAAGTACCTGATGAGTTTGGACAAGACTTTACAGAATTGGTATTTAAGCTGGGTTTTGAAGGATGAGTAGGAGTTGGCCAAGGAGGCAAAGAGGAAGGCAGAGAGAACAGTCTTTATGTAACACATATTTATTGAGAACTTAACATGCACCACTCTATAAATCAAGGAACACCTGGGCCAAGAAAACTTTTGCTAACAAGTTATCAGGTGTTCAAACATGGGCTTTGCCAGTGGTTCTCAATCAGGGTCAGTACTGCCCACTCTCAGCTTTTGGAAATGTCGGAGGGTGTTGTGGGTCATCCCGACGATTTGGCATGCTATTGGCATTGAGTGCCTCAGGGTCGGAAGTGCGTAGTGTCCTTCAGGGAGGACACAGTCCCTGAATGATTGGTTGTCAGAGGTATGGAGGCATGAAAGTGCAGGGTGGGTACCTGGACTGGCAAGACAGGACTCTGGAGAAGTAGGCAGGGGCCAGGTCAGAAAGGACCTAGGAGACTGTGGGGGCGGGGGGGGGTGCTGTTGGCAGAGCAAAGGCACGGATGTGGACGTGATCTCGGCGTGTGAAGGGCTTGGTAGAAAGGGAAGTGTCAGGATATAAAAGCAGGCGGGTGAGGTGGGTCCTAAGGAGGCCTTCCATCTGCTCTTTAGTGCATGGTGGTCTCTGTGGGCCAAGCACCACCTAAGTTGTGGAACTCTGAGCCACAGTAGAATGGGGGTGTGCCGTGATACCGAATGAAGGGTGAACTTTTGCTATGGCCCAATGTTTTCTTAGAGCCTTTGGTTCTGGTCTACAGGTAGCACGATCACTGATCTGTTCTTTCCTCTGTCTCCTTGTCCTTCCATATCTTTGGCTCCCGGTCTCCTTCACTCGCTCCCTTCTCTTCCTTTCTATACCCCTCCTCTGGCTTCCCTCTGCCTTCTGAATGAGCCCCTCTCCTTGACCTTTCCCTGCCTATTCACAGAAAATGATGAAGAAAGAAGCTCTTCTCCTCATCCCCAACGTCCTGAAGGTTTTCTTAGAAAATGGGCAGATTAAATCATTCACTTTTGATGGCCGGACCACTGTTAAGGTACATACAGTTTCCTCTCTCTCGGGTCAGCCTTTGCCCTCTCTGGGCCACACATGGCTGCTGGTTCCTGACTGTCTCTGAGTCTGCACAGCGGTGCTGCTGGGGAGCGAGGTGGCCTTGGAGCTTCTGCCTCTGTGAGCGCCAGGCTGCAAGGACACGCAGCCCTCGGGTGAGGGTGTGTGTGTGTGGGGAGGGAATCTGAGTGCCCGACTACATGTGTCTGTGTGTGTGCGTGCGCGTGTGCGTGCACGCACGCATGTGCGCACAAGCACGAGTGCATTGTATGTGCATACCTACTTGTGAACTACATTGTGTCCGTGTTATACTGGGTCCTTCAAGACTCTTAGGAGCTAAGGAGTGTGAAGATCATTAAAACATTTATAAAGCAAAGGTGATTTATATTGCTGCAATGACACCTATGCACATTTACACACAGAAATCAACAAACACAATCTCTTGGGAGATTAGCTTAGCCATGCTTTGCTTTTGAAATAACCATCAGCTCTTAAGCACTGAGCCAAGATTTGAAACATCCAGCAATAGTCCCTTTGGCTTTTCCTTTCATAGAGAGAGCAACTACTGAGCTGTGATTCTTAAGAACTCGGCCAGCCCTCTAAAAGCTGTAGCGATTCCCTTCGTCCTGAGGAGGAGAAGCAATGAAACGATTGACCCCCAGATTCAGCTCTGATCTGGGACAGAAATAACCGCTCCTGTTTCTTCTGGACCCCCTAGAATGAATTTCCACACAACCAGTGGAATAGCATCTATCTGCCCAGAAAACCCACCCTGGCTCATAGGCGTCCTGAGGTCCTCAGGCTGGGGCCAGGACAACCCTCTAAAGAAAGAAACCCTTGGGCCAGGAAATTTCCCAAAGAGGAATGATCAGGTGTTCAGAGGCGGCCTCACCGGTGGTTCTCGGCCAGAGTTGCCACTCCCCTCCCAGATGGCATTGAGGAATTTGGGGGTCATCCCGTGGTTTGGGGTGCTACTGACATTGAGTGTCTCAGGGTCAGAGCTGCTGAGTGTCCTGCAGGGAGTGAGACAGTCCCTGAATGATGAAGAATTGTCCTGCCCTAAGTACCAGTAGCTCACAAGTTATAAAACACCGGCCTACCCCATGTTGATGGAACTGAAAGTCTCTTTGGAAGCCTGAGGCCTGGCTGGGTCCCCCAAGGGGCCTAGGATCAAAACATATTCCTGAGGGTATCCTGGGATGGTCTCTTGCGTGTCGGAAGTCTCAGCCTATGGGAGGGACATTGAAGCACAACGAGGCCACCCAGGGGTGTCCAAATGCCCCTCCTCCAGATGTGGCTATCTCTCTGCGTCAGAATCCTCTGTGGCATTTATTCATGGATCGGAATGTCCCCTATAGATCTGTCTCCACACCAGAACATTTGCTCCTCTCATTCCCCTCGGAGGCTTCTCCCAGTGTCCCCCGACCTCACAGTGGTGACCCAGTGACACAATGACACTGTTGCCCCCAGGTAGCCCCAGGCTTCCAGGACTGCAGTGTCCCCTGGCTTGTGATCTCACCCTGACTTCAGGGAAGGTGTGCTGGCCATTCGTGGGAACTTGTCCCAGAGAGGTACCTGGGTGACTCGACAGCCTGGCACGGGGGCTGCCCCACTTGTCCCACCAGTTGGCAACCACCAGCTTGGCCATCCACAGTCCCAGTGCAGCTAAACAGCAAAGAAAGCCTCATTTGTCCCCACCAGAGCTCCGGCCACACTGGCGCCTCTGTGGCTACTTGGACGCTCCAAAGAGATGCTCTCAAGTACCCACCAGTTGCCAGCCTCACGTTTGAATGGCTTAGTGTCCTTGAATGTTCACTGAGGGGCTTGTTTGGCAACTTTGGCTATAAGGGAGCCACGCATTCCCAAGCCGGCTGCGTTCTGGCCTCTGGGGGCTGAGCTGTGCTGACCCCATGAACACACACACACACACACACACACACACTGGAGCCCAGTGTGTGCTGAAGTCACAGCAAATAGATGGCAGAAGTCTCAAAACTGACATCTGGGCAGCCCCCAAGGATAGGTTTGCAGACATCTTAATATTAAAAGTAGGACAGCAGAGCAGACAGAACCCCGAAGTAGTCAGATTTATGACTGTACACAAGACACATGACGTGGTTCCTCCACGTGGACACATTTTTCAAGTTGCAAAATTGATGGTCTCTGAAAGCCAGCTACGATCAAAAACGAACATTTTGCCAGTAGCTCAAGTCATTCGATTTAGATTATGAATCCAGAAATAGTCTACTTTTTAATCACGTGATTGTGGCTTAGGCTTTTGTTCGTTCCTGAGGAAAGGGTTGGTGGACAAACTAGAGTGAAGGTTCTGACTTATGTAAGGTCAGGAAGAACCAGCATAGTGCCTTCCTTATTCAATGGCCCGCTTGGTAAGCACTCCGAAGGCATTTTGTTGACTGGAAGGAGAGAAGGAGGGAGGGAGGGCGATGACCACCTTTTGCCAAATGTCTGGCCAGGCCAAATTCAGAAACCCCGCCCTCTCCCACCCTGCACCTTTGGTGTTTCCCAGGGCCCAAGTACTCAGGGTCCCTCTCCTCATCCTGGAGAATGCCTGGGCCACCCTAAAGGCCTGTGTCTCCGTCTGGCCACTCTCCTGGCCTCTGCCTCCTCCCCAGGACCATCTCTCTTGGCGTGCAGTCGCCCTCTCCCATGTTTGGTGCCGAGAGTGGTATAGAACTGGAATGTATCTCCCTCTCAAGGCTCTCTTCTCTTCCACAGGATGTCATGGTAACATTACAGGACCGTCTTTCCCTGAGGTACATTGAGCACTTCGCTCTGGTCCTTGAGTATGCTGGGCCGGAACAGAACCACAAGTTCCTGCTTCTCCAGGACAAGCAGCCTCTGGCTTATGTAAGCAACTCCTTCGGCCTGGCTTCAGAGCTGCCTGTGGCCTCTAATAGAGAAGAGGACTCCGGGCACCCTCTTTCTGGAAAATTCATAATGATTTCCTCAGCCAGCCAGCCAGCCCCCAGAAATTAACAGTTCTCAGTTAAGGTCTATACTAACCACATCCAGTGGGCTTTGGGCAATGCTCCTCATGACCTGAGAAGGGCATGAAGATTGTTAGTCTTGGTCTCTAGTGGGGAAGGTGTGGGGTGGTGAGTCACTGCGTGGCTCCCAGAATGCTGAGATAGCCGTGTCAAGCCTCCTGTCTCCTGGAGGCCCTGCCGGCTGGACTTTTCTGTCTCTGGGAGGAAACTTGGCCCTCCGATGAAGGCTTTAATACAAAAAGGTCAACAAGCGGAGTCTACTGAGGCCAGGACAAGTGTGGGCTGAGAATGGGCTGAGTGGGGGATGGGCAGCACGTCACCCACACCTACTTCCAAGGCAGAGTAGGAGAAAGAGGCTGGGGAGAGCCAGAAAATGCTGAGGGAGTACACCATGGGGAAGCACCAAGAAGAGCCAGGGAGGCCAACCAGGGCCAACCAGGACTCCCAGAGAGGGAAGGAAGGAATTGGAGAGGGACAATTGGGAAGAAATGCCTAAATGGAAGTGCGCCAAAAAACAAAATCAGACACACACACACACACACACACACACACACACACACACACACACACGAAAGGATTTTAGGAAAGAACAATTCTTCAAGGTTAGCGCTCAGCCAAATGCAGTCCAAAGCCTCACAGGATCCCCCCTGTGGAGGGAAGATTGTTAGCTTGGAAGGGAGGCCTACGCACCTCCCACCCAGCCTCTCAAGAGGCCTTCTGAATCCAATTGGTCTCTTTTTCCAAATGGGATTTTAAACTTTTTTATTGCAAAAAAAAAAAAAATCTCAAATATCCACAAGAGTAGAAGGAATTGCATCATGAATTGTCATGACCTATGGCAGCTACAGCTGTTACCCATATATGGCCAACTTGTCTCCCCTATACCTCCAAATGGGATTTTAAAGCTTTGGTTTGGCTTTTTTAATCAACCACTTACTCTGCTGGCACGGAGCCTCTCTGCAAGGTAAAGGTGTTAGACCCGCAGCGAGAAGAGTCAGAGAAGTTACCAGGAGCCCTCTCTTCCCATCTTGTATGTTGGGCCTTAGACCCCATTGTTGATAAAGGCCATGTCCTGGTTAAGTGATTCAACAATCCTAGTCACTTTGGGGTGCCTGGGTGGCTCAGTCGGTTAAGGGTCCGCCTTCAGCTCAGGTCATGATCCCGGAGTTCCGGGATCTAGTCCCACGTCGGGCTCCCTGCTCAGCGGGGAGTCTGCAGCTCCCTCTGCCCCTCCCCCAGGCCGTGCGCTCCGCCTCTCTCTCAAATAAATAAATAAAATCTTTAAAGAAAGGTCTTTAAAAAATTTCTAGTCAGAAATTTTTGGACCAGAAGGGCAGGCAAGACCTTTCCTCGAAGGGTAATTGGGGTGGGCCGGGTGGGAGGCAGGGGTAAGCAGCCACCTCGCTCAGCCCCGAGCCCCGCCTTGAGGAGGCACCAAGCTGGCTCTCACTGCTACGGCCATGTGCCAGGGATTCCCAGATCTCTTCCCTCACCCCTCTCATCCCTGGGATTCAGGTGGTACAGCGGACACACTACCAAGGAATGAAATGCCTCTTCCGAATAAGCTTCTTTCCCAAAGACCCCGTGGAACTGCTGCGTCGGGATCCCGCTGCTTTCGAGTACCTGTACATCCAGGTAGAGTCTGATTGGGGGTACACAGACAGACAGACCCATGGACAAACAAGCAGTCAGGCTGTTCTGCCATCACCATGAAGTCGCTCTGTAAGGTACTCCAACCTCCGGGTAGCTCTGAAGGCCCGCTCCTTTCCTGCTGCAGTCGTAGGCCACAGCCATGTTGTTTAGCCTGGTGACAGGTGCCAGGTGTGGCTCAAGTCCCGCCTAGGTGTCTGGGCAGATCTCATCAGTTTGGGAGAGCAGGCAACCCGTGTCACTCTGTCACCATCACAGAATCCCGGGTTTACCAAGCCTGTTTGGGTAATTCTGATGCCCAGTGGCGTTTGGGAACCACTGCTTTAGGGCAGTGGGTTTTACGCCTAGCTGCACTTAGAATTATCTGAGAAGGTTTGAAAAAAAAAAGAAATGTTCTGCTCCACCCACGACCAAATGAATCAAAATCTATGGGAATGGGCTCCAAACGCTGATGTTTTCTAAATTCCTCAGGTGATTCTCGGGAGTAGCCGGGGGTAAAGAAATTCTGCCATAGGGCAGGGGTACAGAAATGTGGAAAGGAGAGCAGCCTGGGCAGAGGAGCAACTTTGAAACATAGGTGCTGAGGGAGTACACCAGCTGGGGAGCTACGGGGGAGACATGATGGAGGCCAGAACCAGGGCAGTTTTGGATGGGGGGGTGGGATTCAAGAGATAATGAAAAGGTAGAACCAATGGGCTTTGACTCAATGTGCGTCTGGTGGAGGTGGTCTCATTCTCCAAGTGAAGGAATACAGGGAGTTTCGGAATGGGTTTGGGGAAAAGATGAGATCATTTTGTGTTGAGTCCTAGGTGCCCATAGAACATACAGAGTGCTTGACAAGAGGAGAAAAATGAGCTCCAGACTCATCTCTGATGATGTCTCTGACACCTGCAGATATGCTGTAAGACATCACGGTTGTCCCTTCTAACAACCCAAAATGTGAGGAACATTTCTCAAACAGCCCTGGGCTCCTCTACCAACACTCCGGGAGCAATGAGTTGTGGTTCCTCTATGAATTTTTTAAGTTTAGTTCTCATTTTGTTGGCCCTAAATTTCTTCATCCAAGCTTCCGGGGATCACCTTGGTTCAATTGTTTTGGAATTTGGTGTCAAGACCGTGTCCACCCCGTCCCTCCCCTTCATGATGATATGGACTTCACCTGTAATTTCTTATTTTTTATGTCGAATAGCTTTATTGAGGTATAACTGACACATAAACTGCACATATTTAAAATGACAATTTGATAGGTTTTGACATGTTTATACCCATGAAACCATCACCACAACCAAGATATTGAGCATATCCAGTGCCCCCCAAAAGTTTCCTCAGGCTTCTGTGTAATTCCCTCCCTGCCCCCAACCCCCAGGCAACCACTGTCCTGCTTTCTGTCACTATAGATGAGTTCACATTTTCTAGAGATTTTATATAAATGAAACCATACGGTATGTACATTTATTTTGGTCTGACTTATTTCACCCAGCCTAATGATTTTGAGATCTGTCTTTGTTGTGTATTTCATTATTCCATTCCTGTTTATTGTTGAGTAGCATTCCGTGGTATGGATGTACCAAAATATTTTTATCAGTTTACCTGCTGATGGACATTTGAGTTGTTTCCAGGTTTGGGCTACTACGAACAAAGCTTCTATGAACATTCATGCACAAGTCTTTGTATGACATGTGCTCTTTTTTTCTCTTGGGTAAATACCTAAGAATGGAATGGTTTGATCATACGGGAGATCTCTTTCTTTCATTTTTTAAAAAAGAAACTCTAATACTGTTTTCCAAAGTGGCAGTACCATTTTATATTCCCACCAGCCATGTATGAGAGTTCCAGTTTCTCTACATCCTCATCAGCACTTGGTATTTTTCAGTATTTTTTTAAGTCGTTTTAATAGTATTCAGTGGTATCTTGGTGGTGTCTCACTTGCATTTCTCACCTACTAATGTTAAACACCTTTTCCCGTGTTTGTTTGACAACATACATCTTTTTTGGTGAAGTGTCTTTTCAAATCTTTTGCCTACTTTTTTATTGGGGTTGTTCATCTTCTTGTTACTGAGTTACGAGACTTCCTTATATATCCTGGGTAGAAGTTGCTTGTTGGATATGTTATTTGCAGTTTTCTTTCCCAGTGTGTGGCTTCCCTTTTCAGTCTTTAAACAGTGTCTTCCACAGAGCACACATTTGAATTTTGATGAAGTCCAATTTCTCACTTTGTTCTTTGATGGATAATGCTTTCATGGATCATGCTCATAATACCATATCAAAGAAATCCTTGCCTAACTCAAGGTCACAGAGATTTTCTCCTTTTTTTCTAGAAGTTTTAGCATTTTAGTTTTTACATTTAGGTCTGTGATCCATTTTGACATAATTTTTTTTTATGCAGTACAAGGTATCGACCAAATTTCTCTCTCTCTCTGTTTTTTTGTATTATGAATATCCAGCTGTGTCTGCACCATTTGTTGAAAAGACTGTCCTTTCCCCACTGTCTTGTCTTTGCACCTTTGTCAAAAATCAGCTGTCTATAAAGGTGTGGATCTATTTCTGAACTCTTTATTGATCTACGTGTCTATTTTTATGCCAACATCACACTCTTGATTACTGTAGCTTTGTAAGTCTTAAAATCAGGTAGCACTTATTCTCTAACTTTGTTCTTCTTTTTCTAAGTTGTTTTGGTCATTCTAGGCCATTTGCATTGAATTTTAGAATTAGCTTGTCAATTTCTACCAAAAATCTGCTGTGATTGTGATTAGGGTTGGATTGAATCTATAGATCAGTTTGGGGAGAATTGGCATCTTACTAATACCGCGTCTTCTGACCCATGAACATGGTATATTTCTACATTTATTTAGGTCTTCTTTAATTTTGCTCATCAGGGTATTCTCGTTTTCAGTGTACCGGCCTTTCACTTATTTTGACAGATTTATCCCTAATTATTTTAGAGTTTTCAATGCTATTATAAATGGTTTTGACTTTTAATTTGACTTTCCAATTGTTGCAAGCATGTAGAAATGCAGTTGGTTTTTGTATGTTGCTCTTATGTCCTGCACCCTTGCTAACTCATTAGTTTTAGTAGGCATTTGGTAGATTCCATTGGATTTTCTACATAGATGATCACTGATGAAGCATTCCTTTTCCACTCTCTCCTATGCTGTGGTGATACCACTGTGGCTCCCTAGTCCCTCGGCTCATTCAGGTTTCACCTCAACCAAATGGGCGACTGGTCTAACCTAGGCTGAATCATCAGGAGCTGGGACTCTAACCCTCAGGGTTTGGGTGCTATCATACCCTCGGCCAGTAGTTCCAGGGGACCCCCTTTAGGGTAACATAGAGAAGATTGACTCATTGCTGCTTTTGACCTTCAGACCCCTAGGAACGGATTATCTGCTCCATTCCGGCAATCCATCTCTCACCCTGGGCTTTGGGGTCAGAGTGCTATGGAGAGCTCCTCCCAGTATCTCTCTTTAGTCCCATCTGAGCTAGTAGAAGATCCCTGTATGGCTGGGGAGTGAGTTTAGGCCTCTTGTGACAAGACGAAAGAGAGTGGTGCCGTGTCTCACTTTTGCAGTGACCTAGATGTTCTGCCCATGTGGACCTCGCCACTGTGTGCATCTATCCCTGAGAGGCCTGTCCAGGATCTGCTGAATGAAGCAAAATAGTGTCCCTGAGACCCAAGGTCCTTCTGTTGCCTCTCCCCCAAGGGCAGAAATTTCCTCTTCCCCTTTATCTAGGATGTCTTACTGGACACCGCCATTCTTCTCTGGGATGCAAGGGAGTAGATCTGGGGTGGAGTGGGGGGTGGGGGGTGGGGAGGGAACATCTTTTTTAACTGACAGGTTTGGACTGCCCTCTCCTGCAGAGTCGGAATGATGTTATCCGCGAACGCTTTGGAATGGACCCCAAGCCGGAGATGCTTTTGGGCCTTGCTGCCCTCCACATCTATATCACGGTCTCGGCCACTCGACCTAGTCAGAAGATCTCGCTCAAGAATGTGGAGTGAGTTGTGCCAGGGCCCTTTGGGAAGGTGGCAAATAGCCTTAAAGGGAGAAAGTGCAATGACTGAGCTGTGCTATGCTTTTCAGGAACGTAGGGCCCCGGGGTGGGAGTGAGGATTAAGGTTCCTCACGCCTAGGCCATGATGCCTTTGAGCTCCAGCTTCTACCAGAGAATCATGGCCAATGGGATTCTCTTGCCCCCATCCCTCTCTTTTTCTTACAGGCTCCACCCCTCCCTCTGCCTCTCAGATCTAATTTCTGCCTCACCATCTTCTTTTCTCTGCCCTGCTCACTAATTTCTCGCTTTTCTTCTTTCTGCTCTTAGGAAGGAATGGGGCCTGGAACCCTTTCTTCCCCCCTCCCTCCTACAGGGCATCAAAGAGAAGAACCTCCGGAAATCTCTCTCACAGCAACTGAAGGCCCACCAAACACATCCTTCCAGTGGCACCAAGGTATCCAGTGTCATCCATTGGGCGCCCTGCTCAGGCGCTTGTGGCTGTGTGGCTCTCCTGTGTGGTTTCCCAGCAGGTCTGGTCTTCTGAGGGAACTCCCCCCACCCCCGTTTCTGACTTGGGTACACATCCAGCTTGGCTGGATATGGGGGATGATGGTGGAGAGGGATTGTCCCCAAGCCTGAGCTGCTCAGGGGCAAGTCACCGCGAGAGCCCAGGATCCTCAAAGCGAAGGGGCCAAGGTGCAGGAGGAGGCAATTCTCAGATCATTCCACCCATTTCGTCTGTGCTGACTGAGCACCTGCTGTGTGGACAGCACTGGACTCTGGGGAGGCATGTTTTCCACGGCAAGGACTGCTCTGTTCCTCATTAGCTTTCTAATTCGTCAGGCGGGGAATAGGGAATTCTGGGAGATGAGAGCTCAGCCCGATGGGACAAGGCCTAACCTGGAGCAGGGGTCACTGGGCAGCGTGGCGAGGGTTCACGTCACTGCCGTGCCCTCTTCTAGCCCTTCTCAGTCTCCCGGTCGCTTCTTGCCCGTGAGGCAGGAGGTGTGGTTAAAGGCTGCAGAATCAGCATACAGACACAGACAAAGGACACAGTCGCCCTGCCCTGCCCTGCCCCGCCCCCCATATACCACCCATTCCGGATTACTTGTATTACCCACAAGCTTCTCTTTTAAGATGCAAATTTCCCCAGAGAGTTAAGTCAGGCCTACCTTGCTGCGCATATTTAATTGAATTGTTTTCTTCGCAGAGGGAGAACATCAGCGCTCCCCTGCTCCCCGACCATCTCCTCAGCAAACACTTTTTTTTGAGGACCTCCCCCCCCCCCCCGACAGTGCTTGGGCTGGAGAGGCAAAGATGAAAAAGGCCTGCCTGCTCCCCAACCCTAAGTCAGGCACAGGCTAGTGGGGAAACACAACAGTCACAACACAGAGCGACAGTCAGTCACAACACCATGCAACAGGCGTGGGGGCTCTGGAAACGCGGAGGCGGAGGAACACCCAGCCCAGCCTTAGGGAGGTAGAAAAGGCCAGGAATTGGTGCGTTTGATGCCAGATCTGGGTCTTGACAGACAGACAGGAGTTTGTCTAGATGAGGGGGAGGCGGGAGGGGGAGGAAGACTTTCCCAGGCAGGCGGATCCATCTGTACAAGGCCGTGGGGATATAAGAGAACATTGTGCATGGAAAGAAATGCAAATAGTTCGGCATCAGCAAGTACAGAGAGTGCAAGGCGCATGCCTCAGGAGGGGGGCACGAGAGAAAGCCAGAGAAGTTGGCAGGAGCCGGTTCCTGGAGCACCTCGTGTGCTGTGGAGAGGGGTCATACTTCATCCTGTGGGCATCAAGAAGGCATTGAAGGATTTAAGCAGGCGGCTGACATGATCAAACTTCTGTCTGGGGCTGCCACCCTTACCAGCAGTGGGGACGGGTTGAGGGAAAAGAGTATGGAGAGGTCACAGAGGAAGTCAGGAGGTCCAATCAAGGTGATGTGGCTGGTGGTGCTCAGGTGAGAGAATGAGGGGGAAGCCCGGTGTGATACAGGTTTCTGGCTCAAAGGCCTGGGGAAGCTGGTACCCCTGAGAGAGACTTTTCTGTGAGGGGATGGCAGAGGAAGAACAGGCTTGAGGCTTAGGGGTGCTCAGGATTATGAGACTGACGTGCTGCCTACTGCGCTAAGGAGGCACCTTGGGGTGCTCAGGATCAAAGGCATTGTTGGGACCCCTGGCTGGGGACGGCCAGTACCAAGGCAGCAGTAGGAGATCTCAGGACAGAGGTACAGATGAGGTGGGACGTCCGAGTTGGGGAAAGGTGTTGGAATTATCCCAAGAACAAAATGAGTAAGCTGGGTTTTTAAGGCACAAGGATCAGGAGGTCAGAGGAAGGTTTAGAAGGGGACACGGGATGGCTAGAGGCAAGAATTGTCCAAACTGGAACCTTCCTGCCATTTTTCTGAGGGTCTCACACACCCGGTGTGGCTGGCTGACGAGTCTGACTAGTGCCCGTCCTGAGATGTTGGCACTCCTTCCTGATAACACCGGTTTGCTTTTCCCGTGCAACTCAGGCTTCTCACGTGTGTGCATGGGTTGTTTCCACAGGGCTCTGCAATTCAGGCAAAGCTCCAGTATCTTCGAATTCTGAATGAACTTCCAACATTCACGGGCGTTTTGTTCAACACTGTGGGCCTGGTCAGTGAGGGCCGTGGTGGGGGAGGGAGTCCCTTGTGTGCACTTGGGCTTGGGTGGAGGGCAGGAGGGACTCCACTAGAGCTTTAGGGTGGCATTCTCTGTCAGCAAATATTTCTAAAGACCTTCCTCTTTCTCCCTTTCCCTTCCCATGGTGCTCCAGTCCCGCCTCTGGTAAAATGGTCAAGTAGGAGGCCATATTTGTTTTCAGTATCCCTCCATGAGCCTTCTAGGTCCCCTTTCCTTGATTTCAGGGGTCAGCAAACTTGTTGCATAAAGAGCTAGATGGTACATATGTTAGGCTTTGCAGGCCACGCGGGTCTCTGTCACAACTCTTTAGCGCCATTATAGCGTGAGAACAGCCATAGACAATGCAGAAACAAATGAGCGTGGCCGTATTCCAGTATCTATTTATGGACACCGAAATTTGAATTTCGTGTGATTTTCACATGTCGCAAAATATGGTTCTTTTGAATTTTTTCCAACCATTTAGAAATGTAAAAATCATTCTCAGAGTGTGGGCCGTATAAATGCTGGTGTTGGACCCGATTTGGCCCGTGAGCCAGAGTTTGCCAACCCCTGCCCTACCTCATTGGCTTTCCCCCTACCCCTGCAGCCCCCCACCCCCACCCCAGGCTTTCTGAGTCTGCATACTCCCCCCTTCCTGCCCAGGGCCTCCACTGTAGTAACGCCCCTCCCTGACGGTGCACAGCTGATCCCCCTAAACTGTGCCCCAGGCTGGTTCACCCTAGTGAGCCACAGTGGAAGGAGATTCAAATCGTCTTGCTGACTGGATCCAGGTGCTCGTCATGCTCTGGGGAACACGCTGTCATGCTCCTGGGGCACACTGTTGGGAAGCCGCTTAGCAAAGTGTCTATAGCAGACCCACAGAGGTTCCTTGGGGAGATGCGAATGCCAGGAAATGGGCCAGCAGAGGGCTCAGGCTTGATGGTGCTCAGGAGCCTGTCGGGCCACTTAAGGGAATACGGACCACCAGGAGCAGAGGGAGGTATTTACATAGTGGGACTCACAGATCCCTGAAAGCCTACTCCCCTCCCTCCACCCCCGCGCACCCCCCTGCCAGGGCTGAAATTCCGATAGGCCATTCCTTTGGGTTAAGACTGCTGTTTTTCAGGGATGCCAGGGTGGCTCAGTCAGTTCAGCAGCTGCCTTTGGCTCAGATCACGATCCCAGGGTCCTGGGATCAAGTCCCGCATTGGGCACCCTGCTCAGCGGGGAGTCTGCTTCTCCCTCTGCCTGCAGCTCCCCCTGCTTGTTCTCTCTCTCTCTCTCTCTCTGGCAAATAAATAAATAAAATCTTTTAAAAATAAAATAAATACTAAAAAAAACAAAAAAACATAAAAGACTGCTATTTTGTCAAAGAGCAAATGTCGGGATTCCCCGACCCTGCTCTTAAGCACCCAATCAACTCCCAACACCTGAGGCAGAGTGACTGTTTAGCTTTTGGCACCAGGTGAGGAGTGCAAGTTTCAGCGGCTCTTGGGCCCGAGGAAGCAAAGTCCAGACACAAGATGCCACCTGTTCAGGCAGAGCACTGGCGGTCACCGAGTGACCCGCAGCAACAAATGGAAAGTTCCTGGGGCTTGGTGGGAAAAGGATGCTGCAGAGCTTTAAAACAGAAACATCCCCTACGTCACGATTTTGCTAGAGCTAGCCCTGCCACTGCCCACCTCGCTCAGCCTGTTGCTGAGGCTAAGGTGTCCACTGAGACCAGTGACCCGGGGCCTACCCTGGGAACAGGAGCATCCCAGACCGTTTTCCCCTCACGGTTGTCCCCCTGCCCTGGCACTAAGCCCTGGATGTTTCCAGACCTCCCAGCAGAAGCAGTTCAATGCCTGTTTTCTATTTCTTCCTGCCTCTGCCCTTCTTTCCGTGAATGCTGCCCGCCACACTTGGGGCTCAGGACGAGAAGCAGTCAGCCACCACTCTCCTGGTGGGACCCCGTCACGGCATCAGCCATGTTATTGACCTCAAAACCAACCTCACCACTGTGCTGTCCGAGTTCAGCAAGATCAGTAAGATCCAGCTGTTCCGGGAGAACCAGGGCGTGGCCCGGGTGGAGACCAGCATCATGGATGCCAAGGTAAGCCCAGCTTTGAGGAGCTACTACTCTCCAGGGACAGGCCTTGGGAACAGAGGAAGGAGCAAACTCGAGAAAGAGAGTTTGAGCCTTTCCAGTGAGGGTCAGTGATTCTGAAGTGGTTCAGACCCTGGGCTCCCTTGGGCTCATCTTTCTTTCCTTTCTCGGCCCTGTGGGACATGCTGTCTTGGCCACATATTAAGGTCAGCCAGTGCTGGGCAAGGCTAGCAAGTATCAGATCAAACCACAGGGGGTCTTCAGCAGAGGGCGGGGCAATTGAACTTGGAGTTGCCCCCAGGCTATGGCTTCCGGATCTTTCTTGTGTCACAGCACACACAGAAAATGACATTCATGCAGAACAATGGGATAAATGGTCCAGCCCCAGAGACTTCGGCCTCCCCAGGCTCTGTCTGGCCAACCCAGAGGCTGAAGGGATATGCGCACACCAGTTGGGGAGCCCTGCCATAGGCATACACACTTGGAATCATGGAGGAGGGGGTGCCTGAACATGTGGACAGACCCAAGGAGGCCTGGGGAGAAGGGGAACAGGCAGGACCCAGTCCACATTTTACCTCCCAGAGTCCAGCTCTTCCAGAATCTTAGAGCCTTTCCGATCGATTGGCTCCTTCAGACTGGCAAGCAACTGTTACCCGTGCAGAGTCTGACAGCCATGGTCAGCCACCCCCTCCCTGGCTCTCCTGTTGAACACCCAGTAAGCCGTGCGGGGGGGGGGGGGGGGGGGGGAGGGGGGTGGTGGGAAGCAGGCTTGCTTGCCCGCTGGCGGAAGCTATTAGAGGAGGTGCAATTTTCCTTCCTTAAAGGCTTTCCCAGGGGGAGATGTTGTTAGCAGATTAAGAGATGGAGTGTTTGCTGTTTCTAAAAGAGCAAATTATTTATTTTTGTCTTTGTGAAACCCAGAAAGCTTTAATATGTTAATTTTTCCACCTGTGATTCCCAGTATTCCCATTGGTTTAGGAACCCGCCTGGGGCTGATATCTAATTGGCTTGTGGCCACTACCTCAACCAATGATCGCTGCCCTCCGCAGATGTTGCTGGGTAAAAAGCCAGGTGGACAGGGAAGGGAGAGGAAAGACAAGAAGACATGCAGGGTAGATGTGGCTTCCTGAGAAATAAAAAGGGTTTAAAACAGGGAAAAAACTTTCTGGAGGACTCTTCTTCTATGTTGTACGAGTGATTCTCAGCACTCGCTGCCCAATAGAATTTCCTTGAGAGTGTCTTAAAAATGCAGATGCCTGGGTCCTGTTTCCAGAGGTTGTGATCGAATAGGTCAGGCTGCAGCCTGGGCATCAGGATTTATTTACTTTTCAGTTCCCCAAGTGATTCTATAGTATAGCTAGATTTGAGAACCACTGACCTCTGTGTCCAGAGCTCTGGGAGGAACCAAGCTGAGCAGGGTCGGTGGGTACTGACTGAGTGAGGAGCACTATTCTCATTTCTAGGGGTGATCCAGCCACAGGTGTGGGCATGAATGCTGCCCAGGAGAGACCACAGTCTTAGTGGGGAGGCTAGACTCACAAAGACACACAACCTGCCGTAATAACACAACATCAGAACATGTATGGAGCTCTGGAATCAGACAGTTCAGGTTCAAGTCCCAGTTCTACCACTTCCTAGCTGTGTGGCCTTGAAAAAGGGACTTAACCTCTCTGAACACTGATTTCCTCAACTGCGCTATGGAACGCCTATCTCAAAAGGTGGTTGTTCGGGATTAAATGAGAAAATGTAGGCAAAAGGTCTTAGCACGCAGCCTGATACATAGTAAGTACTAAACAAATGAGACCTGTTATTTTTTGAAAAGCAAAACAGCAATGAAGAAAAGTTAACATGAAGTAAATTTTGTAGGTGAGTATGGTGCAGAACATGGAACCAAAGAACGGGAAGGGGTTAACCAGAACTGGCTTCCCACAAGAGCAGGTTTTAAGCTGGATCTTGAAGTGATAGGCACGGATTAGCAGAGAGAAGTGGGATTGTGTTCACAGGCAGAGAGCAAGCACGGAAATAAGCAAGCCATATGTGCAGGTCGATAAGCATAGTTGCTTGGCTGGAGAGGAAAATAACGAGAAAGAAGATTGGAGAGATTGAGGGTGGGCAGAACAAGCTGGCTAAAAGCTTCGAAAGCAAGGCTAGTGTGAAACCAGGGAGGCCAGGAGGGGATCGTGGCCCTAGCGCAAAGGCAAAGTGACAAGGGCATGACCTGAGCTGGAGGGACAGCAGTGGTCAGGAGAAAGAGCCTGTGTGAAACATACAGACTCACCAAGCGCGTGCATGTGAATGCCCACACACGTTCCCCTCTTGCACACACAACACACATGTCTTATTATAGCTAACCCTTACTGCCTGCTGCCTGGATCCTGGGTACACTGAAGACCGGGGCTATGCACACAGCACACGGAGGGTCCAAATTGCGGGTGGGTGGAGAGGTGAGAGACTGCGTTACGGGACAAATGGGACATGGCATTGGTGAATGGAGGGGGCAGGAGAAGGTTGCACTCTGCTGAGTGGGAAACAGCACATGGTTAGGTAGGCGATGCAACTGCCAGGTGGTAGATAGTTCTGGTATGCCCACTTGAAGGAGGCGATACGGTGCATATGAAAAACCACAGGAGAATTATCCATTTTGCATTAGAATGTTTCTGCTAGGCAGAATAGTGGCCCCTCCCAAAGATACCCGCGCCCTGATCCCCAGAACCCGTAAAGATGCCATGTGATATGGCAGAGGAAAATTAGGGTTGCAGATGGAATTAATCAGCTGACCTTAAGATAGGGAGATTATCCTGGATTATCCAGGTAAGCCTGGTGTCATCACAAGGGTCCTTATAAGTAGAAGAGGGAGGTAGAAGAGAAGGTCAAAGTAATGGGAGATGAGGACTCTGCCTGACCTTGTGTGCCTCGAAGAGGGAGGAAGGGGCCATGAGTCAAGGAATGTGGGTGGCCTGCAGAAGGGAAGCAGCCCTGTCTAACCTTGATTTTAGCCCAGTGACGCTCGAGTCAGACTTCTGACCTCCAGAAGTGTAAGAGAACAGATGTGTATTGTGTAAGCCACTAAGTTTGTGTTGATTTGTTACAGAAGCAACAGGAAACTAACATAACCGTGAGATTCCTTCAAGTAGGAAACTCTCATCCCCTACATTAAAGATAGGATTCAACTGAAAAATGTGCTGCTCATCCTCAAGTTTTGTTACATTAGATCGGATGCATCTGGAATCAGAGATGTCTGCTGTGTGTATCACTACAAGGCGGTGCCCTATGAAATGGACAGGATGGTATTTATACTTTTCGCAGATAAATCAGCAGAGACAGGATCGATGATACGGTGATGGGAGAAAAAGAGGAAGATTGAGGGAGGCAAAAAAAAAAAAAGACCCAGGCTTCCATCCGAAGGTCATTTAGTATGGACTCAGCATTGCTAGGAAGCAGGCTAAACGCAATGGGAGGTACAAGTATGAAACGAAAAGAAAAACACGGCTTCTTGCCCTCAAGAAGCTCTCTGTGCTGTAGGAAAGAAGTGTGCCAATACATGGCATTCCTAAAGAGGGCGCCAGAGAAGAGGTGCCAAGAGCATATCAGGATACAGAGGAGGGCAAAATTAATTCTGGCTCAGGGATTAAGGAAGCTTCCTGGATGCACTCCGTATCAGCAGTATCTGTGTTTACTGAGTGGTGCCTCTCTCCATATATGTGAACAAAGGGAAGGATTTGAGGGGGTGGCAGGGTCTGGGAAATTGGCAAACAATACACATCAGAACTCCATAGAACTGCTTGTTTAATGTTTCCCAGCATGCCATTGTATAAGGTATCCTGAAGAAAGAATGTCTGAATTCCCTTAACAAAGAGCATGGAAGTTAAACACCAGACTGGGCTCATTTCCTCCTAGATATGCCACACTGGCCTGGGAATATTCTGGAAGGGCCTGGTGAAGCTAAGATTTCTCACTTAGAGCTCTGACTGCACATTAGAATCATGTATGGAGATTTAAAAACTACCGGTTGCCTGGGCCCTTCCTTTCAGACCGTTTAAACCAGAATGTTGGGGGATGAGGCTGGGGTATATAGGTTTTTCAAGCTTCCCAGGGAATCGTAATATGTGTCTGGCCTGAGAAACATTGCCTTAAAGTGATATTCTGTCTTGTTTCCAAATTGGCTGGTTATGCCCAGTTAGCCTTCCCCAGGGCCGTGGAGGCAAGACCCCAAATGTACTGGTTCCCTAGGACCCAAGGACCATTGCCTTGTACCCTTGCCCTTCCGTGTCCCTGGAGTCCCATCTTTTTCCAGTTTTCAGAGATGCTAGAGTGCACTGAGGCTACCCCAAGACCAGTCCCCTCCCTAGTTGGCATCCCAGAGTGCAGGATGCCTGCGAGCTCCCAACACACTCTGAACACCCCAGGAAGGAGATGGGGCTGGGGCATAGCAAATTAATCCCTACTCTACTTTCTCATGGATGGCCATGCCTCCAACCCCATCCCCCTTTTATCCTTTAATGTTGGAAGATGGCCTGGGCATATTTAGTTATGGTTTTCACTCTGCTTACTTGCTCTTAGTGGATTGAGCGTGAGGCAGTATGCAAATCTCTTTCTCCAAGAGACAGCAGTCTGGGACTGAGACACCACTGGGCCATTAGCATACCCTATTACCACAGAAGCACATAAGGGGGAAAAGAAATCATCAAAGGAATGTCCCAAGGGATCTCTCATGGCCCGGTGTGTCTCCTGCTCTCGTGTTTGAGCTTTATTGCTCTAGTGCTTTCTGTAGGGACAAGCATTACATTAGACGTCACGATCACTAAAATCCTATTTAAAATAAAATGTCTTTGAAGGTTTCTAAGAAAACCTACCCAACCTCTTTGGTTGCCTGCCTTTGATTTGATTTTTACCCCTGCCGGCGAAAAGCATATCTGTGTTCCTTTGACAAGTTCCTTTTGGCCCATGCTGGGGTCCCCAGTTGGCCATGTGGGCGTGCAGAGGACAGACTCCTGATGTGCTGGGCTGAGCCAGCTGGGGATGCGCCTGGCCCTCTCTGTGCACAGGATTTTTTGCCTTCGTGCTGTTTCATTACCCACATCAGGCTGTATTTAGGGTAAGAGAAAAGGAGGGGAAACTGAAGCAAAGTCAAACAGGTCAGTCAATCGGCCAGCCAGTCACTCTGCCTCTGATCTGTCCATTGGCCAGCCAGCCAGCCAGGCAGCTAACCAGTCAGGGTGTCAGGCTATTAGGCATTCTGCCTGTCCTGCAGTCAGCCTGTCAGCCAGGGCACCAGTGAATCAGACTGCTCCTTAGCCAGCAAGCCAGTCCATCTGTCCATCAGTCAGTCAAACCAGTCAGCCTGTACTTTGGTCAAATGGAATGTCATTCTGGTCGTCAGCCAAGGTCCTTTCCTCAGAGAAGCTCTCTCCAGCTTCCAAAACCAAATTAGTCACACGAGCACACGTTCACACCCACCTACCCACACACTGATCCAGAACATTCTATGTTCTGATAACTCTCTGTACTTTCCCTTCATAGCGCTTATCACGCCTTCTACTCATATTCGTTTGTATGATTATTTGGTTTCTGTCTTATTTCCTGTTAGATTGTAAGTTCCGTGAGGGCATCTCTGTTCTGCGATGAATGGCTATTACCTATCAGAGGGTCATGTTGTCCACGAGCTATCCCACCGGCATGTAGCAGTTTGCTGGGAGGGGGTGCAGAGTGGGCCGCAAGGGCATTTCGGCCAGAGAGAAGAGCGTGAGTTAAGATATGAAGTGGTCAAAGAATGTGGCATCTCTGGAAAACTGGAAATGCTATGTCATTGCCGGAGCACAAGGAGAGGGGCAGGGGATGGGAGGAGGGCACAGGCAAGCTAGTAGGAGATATGCTTGGAGCTGTAGGTCAAGTCCAGGTCCTAAAGGCTTTATATGACATGAGAAGACAATAGGTTTTAGGTGATGAGATATTGGGCATTTTACGTGAGAGTCTTGTTTTAGAACCTCGGGCAGCAATATGGAGGTGGAGTGGAGTGATGTGGGTGGAGACTGGAGGCAGGAAGGCCGATCAGGAAGCTACTGGGAATCTTGAGGTTAGTGTGTCCTCACCTTTTCCATATCGTGAAAAATGCCACAATTTGTATGGCCCACTAGAATCAACAGATGAGGCAGCTTGGGCCCAGAGGTAACAGGGGCTCGAGATCTCAGCCCACTTGTCACCCATTCACACATACCTTGAGAAGTTTGGGTATTGGAGGAAGACAGTGAGGGCGTGGAGTAAAGCAGTGGCAGCAGGAGTGGCCATGACGTCGGCGAATGCTCCTGACGCAAGCCTGGTGAGTCTTGGGTCCTCCTAGTGATGGTGGTAGCAGCTATCCACACCCAGACCTCCGTGTATCCTTCTGCCATTAATGGCAAGGGAGCAAGGCCCTCTCCCCCTCCCCATTCCCATTCCCCTTCTGTCTCTCCTTTGCTGTACACAAGGTCGACCATTCTGTTGTGACTGAGAAGCATCCATTCACTAGAGGTACAAACACCCCCTCTGCCCCGTCTTAATAATGACCCAAAGGGTGTGTTAACTAACTGGAATTAAAATAAAAACTTTTTTTTTTTAAAGATTTTATTTATTTATTCATGAGAGCCAGAGAGAGAGAGAGAGAGAGAGGCAGAGGGAGAAGCAGGCTCCCAAGGAGCAGGGAGCCCGATGCGGGACTCGATCCCAGGACCCTGGGATCATGACCTGAGCCGAAGGCAGACGCTTAACCATCTGAGCCACCCAGGCACCCCTAAAATAAAAACTTTTAAAAAAATGACCCAAAAGTAACATCTCATCCCTGGTCCCCTTCTCACTGGAGAAAGGAGCCAGCGGCTCCTTGGGGTACAGATGGTCCCTTTTCTTCCTGATGGTATTGAGTGAGCTCCACAGGAGTATCATCAACTCATAGCCTGTGGGGTGGAATCCAAAGGCCTCACCGTGGCCTGCAGTGTCATTGGATATAGAATAACTAAACAATTCAAGATAGGATTTGAGCCAGCACAAGCCTGTGTGATAGAGACACAGCCCTGGGGTAGGAAAAGAGTTCAAGAGGGAAGAGGCTGAGGTTGGTGATTCTTGGGAGGCTGCACAAGAAAAGCAAGCCTGAGAGATGGAAATGGTCAGGGACTACAGAACCAGAACCTAGTGTCACCTCATGGAAACAGAAGCGAAGAAAAGAATTTCCAAAGGAGAAGGGGATCAGTGTTGGCAAATGAAGCAAGCTGAGAGGTGTGAAAATGAATATGAACAATTGTGTTGGGCTGGAAAGAAGCTTCCCTCCTAGATCAAACCAGACCTGACCCCCTGCTTGTTTCTGTGAATAAGGTTTTCTTAGACCCCCATCACACCCACTGTTTAGCTCACGGATTATCTATGGCTGCTTTCACGTTGCAATGGCAGAGTTACTGCGACAGAGTGTGTGGCCCACAAGGCCTAAAGGATTTGCTGCCTAGCCCTTTTCAGAAAAAAGGTTTGCCAGCCCCTGGTCTGGATGATACAAAATAGTCAACCCGAGCTATGTGTCAGGATCCTGGGAGATAGCAAGGGGACTTGGGCAACTGTATTTAAAAGGTGAGCTGGTTTGGATTCAGAATTGCCCCAAGTGATGATCCAGGCCAAGAAGGCTAGTCTAGTAGGTGACCGAGTTCAACCAAATTTTCCACAGTGTTCCTTTTACTGCCCCTATGGATGCCCTCATCACGTCTCATCTGGACTGTAGCAGTAGCTACTTCACTGGTCAGGGAAGGGATTCATTCCATCCTAATTCTTTTAGCTCTTAATGCCTGGTCTGGGAACCCCCAAAAGTCAAGGTGAGTCATGGCCCCATGGCTCCCTCTTCAGCCAGTCTCCATTGGTCTTTCTCTGGAGGCCACTGCCCTGTCCCAGGGGGAATGCTCCCAGGCTGACTTCAGTCTGACCCAGACTTCTTGTCAAGCCATACCTTGTCAAAATCATGATACAGATATTGGGAAGGTTTCTTGAAAAGGTATTGATTTTGGAGGGGGTCCTATCTTTTTTTGGTATATCGGTGCCAAGTCACTGAAACAGTCAACCAGCTAACCCCAGGATTAATTTGACTGATTTAGGGTCAAGAACAAAAGTCAACAGAGTATGCTAGCATTTCCCAAAGTAGATTTAAAAAAAAAGCTACAACCCTACTACCATGAGATTTTCTATGAAAATAGATGGTTCTGGTCAAATAATTTGGAAACGTTGGAATCCTAAACCCCCCCCCCGTTAACATTTCACAGTGCACATTCATACGTGAAAGTGTCTGAGAGTTCCCGTAAGTACAAGTCTCTGCATAGCTTTGTTTGACCCAGTGTCTCACACACGTATTGGACCAAGGAACTGTTTCAGGGGACACCAACTAACTTCTCGAGGACACTTTAGGAAAGCGGGGGAGGGAGGTCTGAGCAGAGCTGCAGGCCAGAAAGAACTGGGCCCAGAAGGCACAGTGAGGATTTTGTTGCATGGAGTGTCCATGTCCGGGGAGCCATTCTGGGTACTGGGCAGAAAGAGCTATAGAGATGAGCAAGAGATAGTTTGTGGGTTCAGGAACTTTCTATCAGGGATGTTCCCCAGTCCAGCCAGGACTCCCAGATTCAGCCCACCTCTCCCAGCTGGCCCACACATCTGCCGGGCCCCAATGAACACAAATATAGCCACGTAGCAGTCCCATGATGTTATATAATTTTAACCTTTTTTCAGTGAAGGTAGTTCATTAAATGTGTAATTAAAGGTTGATTTAAGGGCGCCTGGGTGGCTCAGTTGGTTAAGCGACTGCCTTCAGCTCAGGTCATGATCCTGGAGTCCCGGGATCGAGTCCCGCATCGGGCTCCCTGCTCGGCAGGGAGTCTGCTTCTCCCTCTGACCCTCTTCCCTCTCGTGCTCTCTATCTCTCATTCTCTCTCTCTCAAATAAATAAATAAAATCTTTAAAAAAAATAAAGGTTGATTTAATTTTGATATCTGGGTGTGAGTTCACTATAAATAAACTCTCAAACCAGAAGAAATGGTCTGTCAGTCCATGCGCCTTGATTTTGGGTTCAGAAAGTAGGATTCCTGTCCCTCTGCAAGGCATCTTTTCACTGTTGGCCTCTTTTTTTAAAAAAAAAAATTATTTATTTATTTGACAGAGAGAGAAAGAGAGCACGAGCCGGGCGGGTGGGGAGCGACAGGCAGAGGCAGAGAAAGAAGCAGGCTCCCCACTGAGCAGGGAGCCCAATGTGGGGCTTGATCTCAGGACCCCGAGATCATGACCTGAGCCGAAGGCAGATGCTTAACCGACTGAGCCACCCAGGCGTCCCACAGTCGTCCTCCTGGACGTGCACCTCCTCCCCTCCTCCTCACATTCTCATGGTTCTTCTTTTCTCTCCCCCAGCCTCTGGTGCTGTTGATGGAGTGGCCCGAAGCCACCAACTTTGCCTGCCTGATCGCAGGGTACTGCCGTCTCCTGCTGGACTCCAGGAAGATGGTCTTTTCCAGGCCTGCCAGCCAGCCTCTTCCACCTCCAATGATCAAGGCAGGTAGGGCTCAGCCTCAGTTTTCAGTATGCCGGAGGCCCTTTGGACCTTGGAGCCAGGGAGGGAGGAGCTCTGCTGCCTTAGTGCTTACCCCATTCCCCCAGCACCCCGGTTTCCCAGGAGCCAGCGATGTACCGCTGGGTCCTACCTGGCACAAGCCGGTGGGAAAGACAGCTGGCCTTCAGATGGGCCTGTCCCACAAAGGATGCCTGTGACAACACATCGCGATCGGGTCAGTGAATGAATGTAAGATAAGAATAGCAAATAAGCAATAAGTAGAACCAGTTAGAGAATTGCATTAGATCTAAGGCACAGCTTTAAAGGTACAGTGATCTAGGAGAGATGCATGGGCGTTCTGGCTTTGTGGAAGGTGGAGGTTGAAAGTGAAGATAAAATCTTTCTCTTGTTCATCATAATGGGGATTGACAGAGCTGCCTGAAGTTAAGAGGCCGTGGAAGCCTGATATAGGAAAGATTGTGCAGGCGCAGAGTATAGTCCAGTGGGAGCCTTAGAGATACGAGAGGATGACCACCAAGAACGAGGTCAAGTGCGGCCCCCAACCTGAGGCTTCCCAGTTAGGCAACTCTGTGCAGCCACCCCTCGGAGCTGTCCTGGTGCTGGCACAAGCAGGGGCCTGAGGAAAGATCAGCCCAGTCCTGATCCTGCTGCCCCGAACCAAAGCAGGAGACCTGAAGAGCAGGGGCTTCACATATTAGACCTAAGGCTCACGTACACGCAGGAAATGCCCCCCTCCAGCCCAGCACCCAAACGTCATGGCAGAAGCTGAGACTTCCTACCCCGCAGTCACCCTCCTCACCTGCCAAAGCCTCGCCCTCCGCTTGCCTGGCAGCTCGGCCATTTCTTCCCTCTTCAAAGCTGCAGTGTGATCACATCTGATCTGGATGGAGGAGTTTGAGAGCCGAAGCACACTCCCAATGGCTACCCCAGCTCCCAGAGAGCCGTGTAACCCCACACACCCTGTCACCTCATTGTCTCTTCATCACAAACATCATGACAAGCCCATGTGTACCTCTCCTAACATTGTCCACAGGACATAGAAGGTAATCTACCAAACATAGACTGGGGAGAGGACAAGTGGCCCAAAGGACAGGTGGCCCCGAGGCATAGACAGAGGCTCTACATAGAGAAGCAAAGGAACTGACTAGAAATAGAAAGAAGCCAGGAGGCTGAGTTGCCACACGTCCCCAGGTGAATAGCTCCAAAGCGGATGGCCATAGGTGTTACTAAGCCTTCGGTTGGCCAAGTGACAGCCAAGCCTCTGTTAGCTTTGTCATTGTCCCCTCTGTTCCTCTCTGTCATCACAGCCAAGTCAATGATGCCTTTTACTGAGCGGGATAGGGAGAGAGAAAGGGAGAAGGAAAGGCAGAAGAAGGAGGCTGGAGCCCAGCCGAGAACCAGATGTGGAAGTGAGGGCTCTTTGAGGGCGGGGGGTGTCTGCTTTCGGGAGGCCCCAGAGATGGCTCTGTAGTCCCACCTACCTTCCAGAGGGTTCTGTCATCCCATCAGCACCCCAGTCAGTGCTCTTAAGTATATATCTCTCTGTGGGGATAATGGCACCAAGCGAGGGCACAGGCTTCCTGTTTCCCCGTTCGTCTCACTGAACACACCCGGGGTTGCATCCCTGTTGCTTCTCCAGAGGTAAATCAATTTCATGGGATTCTCTTGAAGGTATTGCAGCCTGGAAAGAAGGCTTCTATAAATGCCAGGCATGGCTTCAGAGCCCCTCCCTGATTCTTGAATGTCCCCCTTGGGGCCTGCAGAGTGACAGTGGCTCGGCTGCCTTTAGCCCAGGGCCTGTTTCGGTGCAGGAGCCAGAAGGACCACTGTGGTGTTCCCCTTGTTTGTTCTGCTTCTCCTCCCCAGGGGTGTGGGTCCATGCCTGGGCCCAGTACTTGGCCTTTTGAACTGTTAGCTGCTGGCTCGATGGCAACCACTAAGTGCCCTTGGTGGGTGGGGTGTGGTAAGCGTTATAGCCCTGCTGACTGGGGGCTGGCGTGCACATCTGACCCCATGGCCCCAAAAAATGGACAGGGGCACTGCGAGAAGCACACTGGGGAGCCCTCCACCCAGGTCACAGTGTGGGGCCATCAGTTCCTGGTACAAAGCTGAGATACATTTCCTCCATGGGTCCCGCCCACAACTTCCATCCCAGAAAAGAAGCCCCAGTGCCCAGTTGTTATTTAGCAAAGATCTATAGGGAACAGGCATCCTGCCAGCCTCCTCTGGGCTTTGTCCTCAGGGCCAAAGCTCCAGCCCACTTAAGGGCCTGATCTCTCTGTCGGGCTCTATATTCTTGCCCCACAGCAACTGCCAGCTAGCCCAACTCCATGCTCAGCTGCCATCTCTCTCCAGTATCGTGGGGGAAATCCAGGAAAAGAAGGCTTTGGGGGCCCCAGTGGGGGCCACAGTCAGAAGAACTCACTGATTTTCTCCCATGGTTAGGAAACAGCTTGGTCTGGTGAATTGAATATTCTGGTTAATGGCTACTGTATATCCCATGCGTGGCTCGTCCATTTTCATGTAGTTAAATCCCAGCAGCACACAAGAGTACTCAAGCTTGACTGAACATACTAGGTGCTTTTTTGAAGATTCAGAAAGAACTTGAGGGCCTCTAAAGGCCTCTAGGTCGTCCCTTTGACCAGTCTTGATCATCAGACTGTAGAATACGGCAAAGCCAACTAATAGAAAGCTGGTTGACTCAGTGTTGCACTGACTCTGTGTGTGTGTGTGTGTGTGTGTGTGTGTACACACAGTGTATGTATTTTTTAACATAACTCTAATGGGATCACCATCCTGTTCTTTGCAAGCATTTTTTTGAAAGTCAGTCTTCTGAGTGGCTGAGTACAGAGAGCTAGACTAGGACATCCCCCTTGGGGAAAGCTGATGAGCAATTTACAGCAGATTTGCAATCTGAGAGACATACTGTTCCAGCCATCAGCCCAGCGCACCTGGTTCTCCTTGCATTTCTAACCTTATGTCTGGAGGAGATTTGGGCTTTTCCAGACATATTTTCTCCTCCGCACAGCACTGTACTGCTCCTCGGATCTGGAAATCACAGTACCAAGTGGTGGGCTGTGCCTCACCTGGCCTTGTCAGCCTGCTGTTCGGAAATGCTCCCACCTTGCAGGGAGGGGAGCCATCCTTAGACCTCCAGCCCTCGTCTGAGAGGAACCACCACCTGCTTATTGGACATGCCCCCGGGAGCCACCTCTGATGGCAGCTCATTGCCAGGCTGGCTGGGCTGACTGTTCAGCTGTCTCGTAGGTAGTTAGCACCTGGTGCGTGACCCCAACCTGTGGACAGTGCCTGAGGATAGAAACCTCCAGAACTGATAGTTTGCGCTCCTGGGTTAGCACTGCCCTAGAGCACTTCTTCACTGAGGCTCAGAGGGTCGTGACGTAATATTCCCCCAGCTGATCCAAAGTACCCTAGATCTAGATACAGCCACTAAGGCCTGAATTGAACCCATTCGACCTAATTACGTTGACTCCATATTGAAAGGGGCAACAGGGTCTATGGAAAACAGCAAGGGCTTGGAATCTGAAGGTAGAGACCATGTCTTAGCTGTGTGATCATGAACAAATTCCATAAACGGAGTCCCGGTTGCTTCATCTGTAAACTGGCGATAATAGTACCTACGCCAGGAGAGATTTGACAGGATTATGTGAGATAAACCCCATAAAGTTCTTTCAAGTGCAGGGCACATTTTTGCCTCTTATTTATAATGATTGAGAGTTCACTTGGTGCCCAGTGCTGTGCTTTTTTTCTTAAACAGCTTTTTAAAGATTTTATTTCTTTACTTATTTAGAGAGAGGGAGCACGAGTGGGGGGAGGTGCAGAGGGGGAGGGAAAGAGAATCTAAAGCAGACTCTGCACTGAGCGTGGGCCTGACACAGAGCTCAATCCCACCACCCCGAAATCCTGACCTGAGCCAAAACCAAGAGTCAGATGCTTAATCGACTGAGCCACCCAGGCGCCCCTTAAAGAAACAGCCTTATTGAGATATAATTTTAAAGCTAGAAAATTTACCCATTTAAAGTTTACAACTCAGCATTTTTTTAAAGATTTTATTTTTTTTATTTGATAGAGAGAGAGAGCAAGTGCGCACACAAGCAGGGGGGAGCAGCAGAGGGAGAGGGAGAAGCAGACTATCCACCAAGCAAGGAGCCTGACGTGGGGCTCCATCCCAGGACCCTGGGATCACGACCTGAGCCGAAGGCAGATGCTTAACCGACTGAGCCACCCAGGCGTCCCACAGTCGTCCTCCTGGACGTGCACCTCCTCCCCTCCTCCTCACAT